GGTCGGTGAGAACTATAAACGGTCGGCCGTATAAGTAAGGGCGAAATTTCGCGACTGCTCACACCAGCACTAGGCATTCGCGCTCTGTGATAGAATAAATCCGCTCTGAGGGGGACAGCAGCCTGCTGCCATAAGCTATCACGTAATACTAGCCACATTGTCGCTGAGCCAACACAACGCCTATTCTGTAACCACTGGCATCGGTGCGGACTTCGGTCGGTGCTGTAGGGTCGAAGTGAGACAAAACAAGAGAGGAAGTGAGCAATGTGGTGAGGTCGGAGAATGCTGCTGATTGCGAGGGACCCCAGGTAAACGTCTCATCTTATTTTAGTAAATCTGTTAGGGGCCGAGCAATGATCATTTTGTCTGTTGGGTCAGTACACCCGTCTATATATTCTATGTGCGCATTTATATCTCCTAGTATAATTATCTCACACTTTCCTCCTAATTCCTCAATGTCCTTTGATATACACCCCACCATTGCCTGGTTTTCCTCTCTGGCCTTTGCTCCCGTCCACAAGTGCATCAAACCAAGGATTGTCATCTGCCCAGCTACTTTCCCTCTTACCATAGATGTTCCATGCATCCCTGCTTGACTCTTTGCCAACCCATACTTTTATGTATGAATGCACCAATTCCCCCCCCCCTTTTTTTTCTACCTTCTGTTCTATTGCAATATCCCCATACGTAGTCCGGATTGCAAGGTGGTTGCTACATGTCCCGAAGAGGCGATGTGTCTCCACTACCCCATGTACCATCTCCTCCTGCCTCAACTGCTTTTCTATCTCTTCCCACTTTAACCTATTCCTGCCACCCTGCATGTTAATAGAGCCTATGTCTGACTTAGCTCGGCTCTTGTGCTTACGCTGATTTTTTCTCCCACGGGCTCCGTGTGGCTTGAATATTTGTGCCCCTTTAGAACCGTCTTTGGCTACACTCTTGGCCTCAGGGCTCTGGATCCCCCTAAATAAGCTGTGGCTTGACGACAAATCCTATTACCGACCCTCCTGCTCGTCGCACCACTGTAGTGAATGTCATCCTGAGCATAGGGACGAGCGCCAGGCTCGTACACGTCTTGGTTCATTTCCATTACGCTGTATCCGAGTTGCCGGCTCATACCCTTGATCACACACTTGGCCTCCACTACCCTCCTTTCCATCCCACGAGACTGCCCCCAGATATCTGGGACTATGCATATGGTCACATGCACACTCCCAGAGGCTTCTCGGAGCTTACCCATCCCATCCTCTAACTGCCTCTGAATGTTCCGTCCTTGCCCTTCAACACATCATTGAGCCCAGTATGAATAATGACGAGGTTATCGCCCACCATGTTGTCCTCTACAACTGAGCCTTGGCCAGTGCATCCACCATGCTCTTCCCTGACTGGGCCTCCACCCCCACTCTCTTATCTTCCTTCACTGTCGTGAAGACGTCATCCCTAACCCTGGCCCCGTTAGAGTCCCCCACCACTGGGACCCTTCTACGCTCCAATCGCTGGCTTCCTGTTTGTGATGGCGCACCTGTTTGCTTCACCTGTTTCTCTCTCTGCCGTCTGTCCTGTGTTCCTGCCCTGCTCGAAGACTGTCCCGCCACCGAGCTGTATGTTCTCGGAGCCTCCGTGCTGTGGCCAGACACTGCGGCCCCCTGACCTCCCTTCTCACCTGTTCCTTCCCGCCTGTCGCCTTCTCCGCTACCCACGCCTTCGGTCTCGCACCGCTCGGGTCGGGGGCAAAGCTCCATTAGCTTCTTTACCCGCTGCTCGAGCTCGGTCCGCCCTCTCCGTTCTTTTCGAAGGACACCCCTCATTTGCTCTAATAGGCTGGCGGTAGCCTCCTCCCGCTCACGCGACGCTCCAAACAGTTTTTGGAGTTCTATCCTCTGCTCCCGTACCACCCAAAGCTCCCCTAGAAGCCCCTCGATGCTAGCCTTCATGCGCTGCACGGCTGCCTTCAGTGCCTCGCACAGCCTGCACACGTAGCTCGCCTTCTGCGCGTCGGCCAAACTCGAGAATTCTGTCTCGTCCAAGTAGCACCAGCGCTTGCATTCTTCGCACTGCACCAGCTCACTCTCGCCCGTGGTTTTCCTATCCTCCTTAGCCATCGCCCGCCCGACAATCGGACCGAGCGCCCAAAAGCCCTCTATCTCGTTAAGTGCGTGCATGTGGCACTCAGTGATAAACGGTACTAGGTGATAACGCCTCTCGACGCACGCAACCACGCGTTATTTAGTACTGTTTACATTAGCCTGTTCTATTTTCTTTAATATCGATGGCCATCGATTTGCGATTGCCCAGGCACCGCCCCGCGGTTCACGCAAATTAACCGCCGAACAAACAGAAGTCAGATTTGTTGAGGAATAAAAAGAAAGAAAGAAGCATGCCAGTCGCTCTGCAGAACGGTTGTCGACCGAAACACCAGTCGAACGTAAAGCTAAGCCTAAAGGTCGTGAAGCCAGAGCCGGCACGCAGCGAGTTTCGATTACAAAGCGGAGAGAACTGTGCCGCGTGATCGCCGACGCGTCACGAACAAAGCACCGAGGTGCCCGGTTAAACTGGTTTGAACAGCACAGCTTCTGTGCACCACGGGTTCGCAAATCGTGCAAGTTTCATGCCGTGCACTATGGACGACTATTTAGTGCTGTAACAAGTGGGTCTCTCGCTACCTGCAGACACCGATGTGCAGAACGCGCGCGCGATGGTGACCACACGAAGCAACTGCATTTGCTATGGGTACCAGGCCACCGCGGATTATATTTGAACGAAATGGCGGACTCTTTAGCAGCAGTATCCCTGGGTGGGCCCAACATCCCAGTTTTGCCAGATACGGCTTACGTAACCGCGCTAAGGTTCCGAAATGCTTGCCTGCAATGGGGCAAAGGTAATTTGGATAAATTCAAAGATTTCGAGCATTTGAGCTATTGCTGGAATAAACAGTGGTGTGTATCTCGCCAGTTAGAGGTCACTTATACCAGATTGCGCTGTGCAGTTCCACAACTAAATTATTACCTTAACAAAGCTCGGCTCAAGGCGTCACCGCTATGCATTTGGTGCAACGAAATTGAAACCATTGAACATTTCTTTTTATTCTGTCATCGTTATTCTTAACAGAGAAAAAGATTTTTAGTAGCCCCATTACAAAAGTTAGGAATAGAAGTAAATCTACCAGTAATTTTATCAATTGGCGGAACTTCATTTGGTTACTGCCACGGGGATGTATGCTCCGCTGTGTTTGATTACATCAACGCAACTAAAAGATTACCATGTGAGTGAACCCCTACCTTTTCGGATCTTTAGTTTATAATTCGTAGTTATGTCTTTCAAAAACAAAAGATGGTTTGACCGCTTGTTCAGCAAACATTTTTGTTTTTTTGGTAGTATTATTTTAAGCTACTTTTCTAGATTGGCTTCATTTTCATTTTAGTTTCATTTAAGTATCCTGCCGCCCGGTTCTTGGCCCATCCCCCTTAGTGGGTAAGCGCCATTCATCAGAGGTCATCAGCATCAGCTGTGTCAACATGAAAGCCGCAACGGCCCGCCCGAGGAACATGCAACGCACAACAAAAAACCTGAGCGTCAAAATCCCTCTACGCATGCCATTCGGTTAGGGTGGCTAACTCGGTGGTTTTCGCGAAGTGACAGTGGCGCCTGAACACACAGCCTAGCTAGCAGAATCGGCAAGCTCGATGCATGGCAGCACATTTTTGCGGGGTCATGCATATTTACAACAGTCCACGGGAGATTATAGCGGCACCGTGAGGGCCCTTTTCACCAGAAATGTGTCAAGTAAAGAACTCACTAGTGCGCGCCTTCTCTTCTTGCTATTCCTGGCACTTCTCAAGAAATCATGTAGTCAACTCGATCTTTTTACAGCGAAAGCCGTTACGAGAACACCACTCGTGTCACGCGCAGTTGCATGTTGTGCGCCGCTACCACTGCCGCCGCCGCCGCCGGTGTCCGTAACCACGTTTACAAAAAAAAAAAAAAAAACCTTGCATAAATTACACAGTGGAGCTTGAACCCAGGTCCGCATGGTGTCAGCCCAATATTTTGCCACTGAGTTACGCCGGTGCTTGTAACTTCAAACTTGCCTTGACCTAGCACCTAATGGCACAACGAAGCTTGAAGGTCCGCTGGGTGCCAGCCCACTATTCTACCACTGAGCTACTCCGGTGCTTGAGACTTGTTGTCAAACTTGCCTTAGGTAAGCTTGATGTCGGGAAAGCTGTCTCGTTAATACGACTTATAAAGCGTTTCACAACAGCGAAAGAACAACCAGTCGTCATACAATGCGATTAGTGTACCGAGTGGGCCATCCAATACTACAACCCATTACAAAAGCTTGTTCTTGTTTCCCTACTAACTGTGATGCATACCCACTTCATCCTTAATTCCTCATCGTCGTCAGACACTGCATGGACAATTGACACAAAATTCCTTGCAAGTGTTTAGCGGATACTACGCTCCTCAGAGGAATGACGAAAAAATAGCATAGCGAACTGCCGGCCTACTACCCAAAGTTTATTATTAATGCCCTAGTAGGTATTAAGCAAGTGTGCTTGCAGTAGTTACCTGAATGAGTGTATTGAAAAGCCTCTGAAAGGCCGCTCGTCTAGCTTTCGCGGTGACTGTGCTGCACCCTACCGCGCAGGCCTGGCGTTTTTCTGAAGCCGAGGTTGGCATCAAAATTCTTGCTTGTTTCGGAGCACGTTCAGCGCAGTTTTTCGCGATTTTTATGCTTTTGGAGCAGGTTGGCGAACAAAAACTGGATATGTATAAAAAATGTGTAATATGCATAGCTCTCTCACCCCTGCACTAATAATGAACTTATCATAGTGAAATGACATTACAGTTGACCTGGTTGTGAGCATGTGCAGTAGTCGATATTTTTGCACATATTCACGAAGAACGTAATGTTACTAGAAAATATGCAAGAGACTTCAATTTATTTTCCCATTTCCAGAAAGGCAAAATAACTCAACAGATACAAAGTGAAACTAGAATGATGTTTTAAAAAAGCAGCATCTTTATTCTCATATTTTTTGCCACACTGGAAAAAAAATTACACTCTTTGCTGGGTGGTGTACATCACTACAGTACCAAATTCTTTTTCCTATACACCCACCCATCCTTCATATGTTCATTAATGTGTTTTCACTTTTGATGCATCTAGCCATTCCCATCTCCAAAAAAACAAAGTAAAAGCGACAAACAAAGGAACGACCCAGTGGCACATAAGCACAGCCTGTTAGGAGAGAATGTACATTCTTTCAGGCCACTGCTCTCGTATATGCCTTGGCTTCTTGACAATGAAAACAACTACACCCACCAAGATTTGATTGTAAATCAACGTGTTAACTTGTGCATGCTGCTCTGCAAGTGAGTGCTATGTCACCTGTTGACTACATCCCAAGGCTCGAACGACACGACTACTGTCCCCCAGCTACAGGAGACTGAAATGCCCGCCCATATAATGAGCAAGTAATTCTAACACACTTTATTTATCACACATAGAGACATAGCAGTACTTTTTTTTTCGTGTTTCTGAACTGTTTTTTCGCACAGAAGGCTCTCATTCTCTGCCCTCCTCCAAGGGAGTGGAGCACGTATGACGCATCATGGTGTTTGTGTTTGTGCATGTAGGGCATCTACATTAAACTATGACCTTGGCTCTTTTGTCACCAGTACTGTTCGATTCAATACAGCTACAGCAGACAAGGTGCAGCTACTGCACACCCTAAGAAAACTGCACTACAATTCGCGAGATGGCACAAGAATCTGAGAAACTCTCCAGGTCACGGAGAAGCCCCGAAAACATAGTTGTGAAGATTTGGCTGCCCCTGCTTTTGTTCTCTTGCATCTGCTTGCATGCTTGTTTTGTACAAGCAATGGACCACTCTATGCAGAGAAAAATAACTGTCGCAGTAAAATGGATGATGTGTTTGAAGCTAGCTGCTTCACACTGCACAGAGTTGTTCGTCACAGAACCACTGTAGCAGATCCCATATGGGCGGTTGTCGCTTTAAGTAAAACGGAAGCTCATTCAGTCACTTCGCTATGCAATGGAAATGGATGCCCTACAGAGTGAAGCACATCAATCGTCGATGCTACAGAACACTTCTCTCGCTTTGGCAACGAAGACTACGAACGTCAAGAACCATTCTCACAGTCCTTAAACTCTTGTATTACGTAACATGGCCTGGTCAAGCATGCCTAGGCAGGACGATGTTTCAACCCAAAAAGAAAGGGAATTGTTTAGATGTCTGAAGCTGACGGCACAAGTTGATTTTAAGAGCTGACATGTCCCATCGATGATCGGGTGTTTGCTTTTGATCAGCTTGTTAGTATATGTAGCTTTAAATTTTTTCATGCCCTTTTCTATCGTTGTACTTTTCTATAAGGCAGGTATGCAAGAAGACACACTTAGAAAACAACAATTTATGCATTCATACACAACTCGTGCACATGCGCACATTTTCACTCACACACACTCTCAATCCGAACACTGTGCGTACTATTAGACATCCTTCATTCATTCAAAACAGTTCAGGGAGCACACACAGCTGCTGCAAAAACTAATAAATGCTTCCCATCACACCAACGAGCCCCCGGTAAGCAGTGAACAAAACATGAAGGCCCATGACTGCAATATGTCATAAAATATAGTAGGTGCAGATCTTATTCAGTAAAATGACTTCTTACAAAAAGAAAAGAAAAAAATGCACTGTACCTTCCAGTACACAATGACTACTAAATATGTGATGATTTTCAATCATGGAAGAACACAACATGAAATGTGGGGCCAACACAGAAATCACCAGTTGAGCACATCTGTTTTCAAGCCTAGCATAACTTTCCGGACGAAATATGGCACTAGGACAATAATATGCATCACATCCTACCTCGTAAAATGTGATTGAGAGCCTATTTAAGCCATACTAGGAATAGGAGAATGTATGTACACAAACAAGACTTCTAATCGTGCTGAATTTAATTTGAAAGCAGCATCCCTAGGCTAGAATGGCCCTAAGCTAGTACATCTTCAACACGCTGCTTTCCCGAGTTGCCCTAATGGACAAGCTAAGCTTCCAAAGTGGGACACGTTGAGTTGTCTGCTTGCTATGTCTTGTTGACACAGCCTAACAAATGACTTCACATCAGTATCTAAAAATATTCTGTGCAGCTAGTAAACAAATGCCATTACTTGTCTCAAGCATGTTCTTGAAGAAATAATAGCCTATACACTTGCAATGCATTAGCACAGATTTTTTTAAAATCTAGTGATAACAATAACTGAGTATGGAAACATAACTGCTCCTTATCAAGCATACAAAAGTATGGGCCATTCAACTGAGAAGAAGCAGTTGTCTAGTCTATAAACTTGTGCTCTGAAAGAAAGAACATTCACAGGGATATTCAACACAAGAGCCAACATGTGCTTGTCTATGATAGCGTAAAAAACTGAGCCACTCTATGTCAAAACGAAAAATAAAGGGAGAAGATTCTGTTACAGACTAGCAAATAAATACGCAACTCGAAGAGAGTCTAGCCTTCAAGCGCTCACTTGTGTACTGCAACAGTAAAATCTAATGAGCTGGCACAGTGCAGGCAGAAACAAGTTATAAGCTCGACACGACACGCTACTGCTACGACCTGCATGAAATAACAGCAAGGATACTTGAAAAGATGCTAGGGAGACTACCATGCTTCGCAAAGTTTCACCAGCTTTTACACTCTCTGCAAGCAGATTGAGTACAGAAGAAAAAAAAATGCACTGTCAATTGCTAGAACTGCAGTTGCTTGCCCATATTAATGTTAACAAGAACTATTATTTGTTTTAAATCCTCTTGTCGATTGCTCATCCAGGACATTAGACAGGATTGTGTGTCTCAGTGCTTGTCACTTGAGCTGTCTCTCAGTAAGAGCATGCAGCTAAGGGAAGCCACTTCACATTATCATAACCACATTCCTCTGAGTGAAGACTGTCTCATGAGGTAGTCCCAAGTGGCCCAGCAGATTCCATCGATCGGCATTTCCAAAAGCACAACAACGGCTGTGACCTTTGTTTACTTCAAATTTTCCAGCTGTACAGGTCCTCTATGATCACATCATATCCGTGACAACGGCAACAACAAGTGTGACAAAAGAAAAAAAAAAAGAAAAGCTTCTGGAGCTCTGCCTATCATGAGCCTGTCCAGCTGCCACCAAGATAAATACCTGCGAGAGAGCTTGGACCAGACATCTCGAACATACAGGGAGAGCACTGGGTCAAAGCCGACAACGATTTCCACAGACCTTCATCTATGGTGGCATCTGCAAGGCACATGTTGAGCACAACTGGAGGGATGCTATGCTACAGACTGGTTTCCCTCTTGCACCACCAGGACGGAGCCCTGCATGCAGGCCATCAGAAATAGTGTTCTCGAGAAGCGCTGCACTCGCGATGGTCGCCACAGAGAGGGCTGCCGGCGTGGTCTGCTCCTCGTGCACCGCTCTATGCCCAGCAAGCCCTTCGTTTCTCGAATGTACCCCAGACCCTCGGCACCTAGAAGGGGGCACCTGGGTCGTGCTGTTGAGGGAGAGGGGCACATTGGGGGAACGCCTGAAAAGGAGGGAGGGCCTCAGGGGGAATGAACGTCCGGGAAATAAAGGAAATAAACCTAGGGGCTCATCTGGCGTCAAACGGACGTCTCGCTGCCATTGGGAAAGGGCTTCTTGGCCTCTTGGGGCGAAGCGTGCTTGGAGGGCACGGGCGTAGGGGCATCTATGCGGATGGTGATGCCACAGTCCTCCTCATCGTCCTCTTCAGCCATGGTAGAGAGACGCTTGCGTTCCTCTTCGTTGAGCGCATCTTTCTTACTTCCACGTTTTTTTTTCCTGTGCCCCATCAAGGAGAAAAAAAGGAAGGGGTAGGAAGAGAAGTACAAGAAGAGATTGTGGTGAGAGAGGCCACGAAGGAGCAGAGGGAGGCGGGGTGTGAATTGGTGCACGCAGCTCACTTTTAGCAGTGACACCAAAGTAATTTGTGTATCAGGCAGTGACACTGTTACAGCACTGGTTAGCTGTGACAGGGTCCAGGTGCAACAAGCAACTGCTTCTGTTGTAAGCAAGAGGGTGTGTTGGATTATCTTGTATGCTTGTGCATATATTGTATGAATCATATCAGCTGCCACATTTGATATACAACTAAGAAAGTTCACAGATTTCTCATAATATAATGACTATTCTTGAACCTCACAAACGTTTCGTTATGCATGATGAATTTTTCTTTAAGGTCAAAAGTCAGCTTTTTAAAGTATACATTGTCAGCACATTGTATGAGCTATGCTGTTTCTACTATTTTGTTTGTGACTTCAAAAAATTTAGCACCTGCATACAATAGTACAAGCTATAGCTATACGAATTTTTCAGCATGATGGAGGGCTCAAAATGCACAAAATGAAATGTTCTTTTTTGCATTATCCTGGCTACTCATTGCATGTATAGTGGAATAGAAAAAAAAAATGCTCGCATTTAAAGGACCAACACTATGAAGCTTATGCATGTGGTTTAGAAACTATGAGACGACACAAAACCAAATCCTGACCTAGAGACTGATAAAATGACTTGAAAAGTTAGTATTTTTGTGTTACAGTGTTTACAATTAACTCTTTATCAGCAATTGGCAGACCCAAGTATTTCAGTCACTTTGATCTTGAATTATACTATTCAATTGCTTGTTTCTTTTCAGTTTTACAGTTCATACTAGTAGCAAATGTGATACACAGTGCTTTGTTCACGTAAAATTCATTAAAATGAGAAAAGTTCAGGTGAGCCACTGCCGAGTTAAAAATCAGATGGCACGTTTTGTTATCCTAGGCTCTGCAAATTACTCTATGCATTATTAAAAACTAGGATGGCTGATAATATTTGTTTATGCTAGTGAGTTAACCTTTTAACATTATTAACTTTGTTATTTAAATCTGAGTAATTTACTAAAAGTACATGTGAACTTTCTGTTGTTAGACTACATCGATACATGCAGTACCCAAGTCCCTTCCTTTAATGAAAATTTAACAGAAACATGTCACAGCTATTGTGGTGATAGGTGTTGTTGTAATTCCGTTCTTTAAAGAGAATTTCAAAATGTACATTTCAGGCAGCTCATTAAAAAATGGTAGACTGAAGCTAAGCAAATTCGGCAACTACTTGATGCACCTGAAGAGGTTAGTACGAGTTTGAGTACAGGAAAGTACAATGTGCTTACACAAGGTGTACATTGTGCTAGTGTTAGGCACAAAGAATAGCCAGGGAATAACGCAGGTTTTATAAAAAAAAATGTACCGTGTGTACACACGACAGAGTGAAAAGAAGACGGTCACAGCTAGCAGCATGAATTAAAACATGCTACTGCTGTTTCTGAAAAGAGAGTTGGCTTTCGATAAATATTACATATTTAGAAGTGTGTCATATTAAAAACAGCACTCATTTAACAAGCATGCAGGGACAGCTTCTCAGCACCAATTCATAAACTAAACAGATATTATATAAGCTCTTTTTTCTGCATGTGCACAGAGGTGCAAGTTGCGGTGTGCTGCTATACCGATGTAACGCCCACTGTATCATATTTGAAAAATTGAATATTACACCTCAATAACGCTAATAAAAGCTACTATCGGTGTCATGCTAAGCAGCTATTGCAGATTTGACATGTTATTAAGAAGGTGCACTGAATTACATATTACATGATCATAATTAACTATTTTCAATTAGTACTGATTACATTATGCCTCAAAATAAATTTCATTCATGCTTTTCTTAAAATAAACTGAACAAGAACAGTAAGAACAGTCAGCATTTTCTCAAAATTTTTCTTAAGGCATAACTGTTTGTGGGCATTACAGTTGCACACACACACACAGGCACACGAAAAAGGAGCTACACAGTATAAGAGTGAAGAAATTGAGTCTTTCAACAAGTTCGTATTTTTAGCTGAATGGCCTTTTCTTTCTCATGTTGTGCAGCAAGGAGCAATCTTTTCTCTTTATCTCTCATTACTATTTAGCAGTGCTAGAAATGGCTCCAATCGCTTCTGGCATCCAATATACTGAACTGTGATTAAAGCCAATAATAAGCTTTAATGTTTGTCAAAACCAACAGCCATTTTCAGCAATAAAATTTTGGTTGATTCAATACTTCTCATACATGTTGTCATGGCTTTCTTTTCTGGTGCACTTCATTTCACTCCAAATGCAAACAAAGCGCTTCTTATGTTTTTTCTTTAACATTATGAATACAGAAAGGAGCCATACAATTTGTGATCTCAATGCACTGTACTAAAAATCAATATAGCTTAGTTTTTCACATGCAAAACCTGTTCACACTTACACAAGATGCATTACACCACTCAAACTTTCGACAAAGTTTCAGGACAATGTAGTTAGTTTTCCTGCTTGCAAAGAAGAAAGCAGCAAAAGCATCGCTGAAGCGTCGCAACCCAGACTCTTCCATGCTTTAGATGTTCCTGAACACACTGTGGTCATGCAGGCCATGAAGCAATGGTACACTGCATATGCTTCCACTGTTAGTAAGCATGGCAAAGGCAGCTGAGCAATGCATACATGCCAGTGCAGTGGTTAGGAGACCTACGTACCTGTCTACAGACTGAATGGGCAGTGGTGAAAGCAGTGCAAGTTGGGTATTAAAAAAAAGTGACAAAGAACGGGAGAGGTGAAAGATAGGACAAAAGAAAGAAAAAAAGAAGAGAGAGAAGGAATGATGCTACAGATAAGACATTAAACACGCACAAACAAATAAAAGCACAAGCCTAAATGCCACAAGACCCAATGACGACCCGCATAATTGGCTCGGCAAGTTGCATTTGTTCCAGAAAAAGTCTTTCACCACAGCTTATGCCTTCGTTCCATAAAAATGCGTGCACAATTGAGCACCAAGCTTTCTTAGATGCACAAAGACAATGGTCGCACTCAAGTGGGACTATTATGCTGAAATGATGTTTGTTGATAATACATCGAGCCAGAGTATTGCCTGAATTACTCTGTATGCATATCACTGATGAGCATTGCTCAGCCGTGATTTCCGTCGGCTGCAAATGCCATTACGTTAATAATGGCCTTTGGCTGCGAATATGGGCCTCTGGTTATTGCCCAAGGCATCCAATGTGAAAGACACTTTTAGGGATTCCTTGTATTTCCTGCTTAGAAGGAATCTCTGAAAAGCAGGACAACAAAGGACATCACCTAGGCCAATCAGCGACATGCCATGGACGACATGTCTTAGAACACTCAGGGTGCACTTCGGCAGCTCCTCCCATGCAATCAGTCTGCAATCTCCCAAAATGTGTGTAACTGCTACTGTAATGATTGAAGCTTAGCACCTGGAAATCGAACGTGCCCCCCCTTCAACATCTGGAATTCATTCTCTGCATATTCTCAAGCATTTGTCCTTACTTCTCGCGGTATAAAAATTACACAGTACTTTCCTGCATATAACCAACCCTTGCATGTAACCCACATCCCTGGGTTTAACTCTACAAGAAGACAAAAAAAAAGAAAGCATATAACCTCAGCTTGAAGCCTATACTCCTGCTTTTTAAGAAATTTTTTTCAGTGTATGGTGTGGCTTATATACGAGAAAATACCGTTCTTCCAGCTTAAATTTTATTCTCAGTTTGCCCCTCTTCTCTATTCTTTCATATATATACCCACGTTTCATTTACATTCAACTCCTTCCTATTTTCCTGACATCAAAGCTATGCTTGCTGATGTCAATACTGTGCCGTTACAGCTGGATCAGAGGTACTAGGATTAAAAGGTTAGATTTTGTTCTCGCCTCTGTTCCTCTCTCGTGGTGCAACACATGGCAAGTGCTGAAAAAGGTATTTTTTAAAGAGCAAGGTTTAACCATAAGTGAGAATATTCTAAACCATAGCTTGATGCAAACTGCTCGCTCTATTTTTCTTAAGAAGCCATGATAACAAAAGACACCCAAAGCCACCGTTAAATAGAAAAAGAATAGCGAATGCAGTATCCCCAAACAGATGTGAAAACTAATATACAAGATTAGAGGCAATGAATCCAAAGGTCTCCCGTCCATCATGCCAACCAATTTCGCTCCTAGGCAGATTAAATGAAGCAGGCATTGTAAGCCAACAAACATAAGAAAACATCCCAGCACATGCTATCCGGATCATCACAAGCATTAGACCACTACTTTCCACTACGTGAACAAAAATGTGTCCTACGACACTACACGGTGTCTTGAAAACATGCAGTACGTGGTACTTGTAAAACAAAGCCATACGAAAACCAAGTGCCACAGTTACAGACATATTTTGGAATTTGTGCTCAGAAAAGTAAAAATTCGGCAAAGATTACGTTAGGTTATAACATGCAACAAACCACAAAAAAAGTAACAGTACTAGCGGCAATTATTGCACAATTTGCTTTTGTATAAAACTAGCACTAATTTAAGCAACATCACGTATTTTTAATTACTCAAGAAAGTGTCCTGCAACAAGAGAATCCAGCTCAGTGAGAGCATAAGTTACAAGAAATACAGCAAGTCTTCTAACTAGGAAACCGTCAAACTTAATCAACTTGTAAATAAATATTTGCTACGAAAAAATCTTATTGACAAATTCCCCCCCCCCCCCCTTTTCAGCCCATTAATACTTCCCTCAATGTGCAGAAGCGTGCACTTCTCTTTTGAATTTTGTATTCTAGTTTATTCTACTTTTCAACAATTATAGGTATATATAACTTTATTGGTGATTGTGAGCACTGCCTACTTATGATGCTGAATAAAGGAAGAGATTTGGTTCTTTCAATACGCACCACTTGGCTGAAATACCATATTTTCTGGTGCACCTTTTTTTTTTTCTTTATTTTCACTGATGCGTCTTATATACACAAAAAGCCATTCGATTTTGCGAGACTCATTTTAGGCACTAAACATTTTGTTACGACATGAACTGCATGAATCTCAAACAACAAATATTTAACAAAAGCAATTACAAAATAAAAACAGAGCTTATAGATGTAAACAGGTGGTTGTGTCATTCGGATCAGGTATGCCACGGAGGTTTTCACGAAAGCTAAGAGAGAGCAGGTGCGTTGTGATTTGTTATCAAACTACAGTATATCATTCGGCATGACTAATTATGAATTTCTCAAGGCCTCCACAGTCAAAATCCTCTGTGAGCCCCTGGCACAATTAAATTGGAAAGACAGGTTTAACTGCAGTAGTGTCAGGTGAATAAGTGCCCCCACCTGGACCCGTCGTCAGCCGCCTTGGCCCCTCCTCCTCCCGAGGAAGGGTTGCCACCTTTGTGCTGGTTGTGCTGATCGATGGCCTGCCAGAGGCCTGTCTGCGAGAGCTGCTCGGTGATGTTGATTTGCGGCAGCTCCTCGGCCTCTTTGTATTTCTCCATAGGAACCTTGATGAGGTTGCCATTCACCAGAGCTATGGCCACATTCCCTGAACTGGCCTCCGGGAGCAGCGCATTCTGCACCGCAAACCAGGTAGCAGACGTGTCAACTGCACTGCAGTTTCTTGAGAGTGCGAGTAAAGCCTACTGTACTCTCCTTAAAAGGGCCCTGCAACACTTTTATTGCAATAGCAATTATATGGACAACCTTGGCTAATTTTTGTCGTTGTCATCATGTCCCAGATATGTATATGTATATATACAAAAAAGGCACAGAGAAAAATAAATCTGAAGAAAAAATTCGAAGGCACCCACTGTGAATACGAACTCGTGGCCCCTCGCTCCTTAGCGCACTGTGTAAACCAACTAGGTTGCGCCGCTCATGCCATCCATATCATTAACGGCGAGCTATATATATATGAATATAACATTCTTAACATATATATATATAACTTATGAAAGTAACATTCTTGAGCAGAGCTTGCATGTATCATGAAAAATGAGAGCTTCGTTCCACCGAAAAGTGGAAGTAGCCAAGAACAAGCAAGCAGGCAAGCTTCTCCCACCAGCCAGCTGCTTCCGGCGTCGATGCCCACACTGCAATGTCTGGGACAATCTGAAATGAACGTTTGGTGAAGTGCATTGCAACTGCACTTTTCGCTACTATCACTGGTATCATCAACGTCGACGGATGCCAAGGAAGGAAACGCCGGACGAAGGCCAGAGAAAATGCTGTATGCAGTTTAGCCTCTGTGATGCTATTCCGTTACGTACTAGCACCTGCGGAAACAGAGCTGAAGCAAGGTGGGCTCGCATACGTGCCCAGACACAGCAAGAATGTGGTGCTGGGCGTGCGAGAAATGCGCGGCTCAACACACATTTGACTCTGTTCACTACATTTTATATGGTTCCTAAATCTTTTAGCCTTACTTAGTATTACAGTCCGATGGGTTGCTATTGCATTCAATGCTTCGCTCTTGTGCCGAAACGGTGACTTTTTCTACCCAAGTATTCATTGAGTGACTTCATTAAAGGTGTTTACTGCCTCTAAAATCGACTGCAGCAGAAATGTTCAGAATCTGCCAAGTATGAGTCAAGGCACACTGCTTTGTGACACGCTTTAATTAAGCACTTCTCTCCTTTTATACCAGCAAGCGTGCTGATGACTACACAGGGGACCACAAGAAGCTAGGCGAGTTCATCAGCGAACCTCAAGCACATTTCTTTTTCTTTTTTCCTTTCACAGCGTAGCTTGCCTTCAGTGTGATTCCATCACACCCACATTGTGGCATCTCTTAACAGCTGTGCTAAATACACAGCTCATGATGCTCAAATCAGCCAATGCCTGTGGTCTTTTTGTTTATGACGTCGTCCTTTTGAATTATGGCATTATTTGTCGATAAAAGAGTGCGCTACTTCCAACCGAGATTGAAAATTCATTGTGCACTCGCAGCCACTTGATGCACTGCAATGGTTAATTCACATGTTCTCAGGAGCGTCCACAACTGATCAGCAGCGTTTTATGACCTTGCTCAAAAAGTGCTGGAGGGCCCCTTTAATGCCTGCCCAGTGAGTCAACTGGAGAGCATCATTTTCTCGGTAATCAATCACATTTTATAGGGTCACGGCAACTTTTTTTTTTTTTTTCAGGTATCATGGAGAAGCAAAGAAAAAGGCAGCAACACAATTAGTCGGAGGCCGTCTATACTCTAGCTAAAGCAGGACCTAAATTACAGGCGATGTTGTACTGTCACAGCGAGCCGAGCCGTTGGCTCCCACACGTTTTGAAGCAATTGAGCCTAGCTGCTGATGAAAAAATACTAGCTAAAACTTGCTGATATGCCATAACTTTACTGCTTCTTTTAGATATGATCAAGCTTTCATGTTCTAGTAGACTTTTTTGAATATAAAGACCTACACAAAGTTGATTATCAAGATGGGACAACCCTAGTACACAACCTTCACTACATTACATGCTGCAAAATGCAGACAACTGCTTTGAGAGACGTTATGAATATCTTCATCATAAAACCTTACTATGTACAGCTAACCATGAGTGCGAATATGTGTAGCACAATGACACAGTGTGCCGAATGTGCGAAAATTCATGCACTGCGATCAAGTAGTTGTCCATTATTTGTTGATGAACGTGGCCTTCTGCAAATTTCATTGCCTGCTTTATTTATTTAGTTTGAACTCTTCTGCAGTGAGTAAGAATCCCTTTGTATTCATTTTTAAACATAATACACCCCCCCCCCCCCCCCCAAAAAAATGCTGAAAAGATTTAGAAGTGTTATAGCAGATCATCCCAAGAACGCTTACTTCACAATACCACCCAATTGACATGACTCAGTTACTGCCAATTATTTATATGGAATGGCACCCAGTAACAACCATGGATTGCTGATTTTGGTTTAGTAAAGCTACAGAATAAATTCATAGAGTGCAACAAAGCACTGTCTAACAAGTAGTTGAAATATGTTATGCATGCTCACCAGCAGAAGCTAGTAGGACATTTTCAGCAAATTAATGCTTATGAAATCAGTAGCGAAAGAAGCATGCTGTGGCACGTGTCCACAGAATCAACAAAATGTGCAAAAGAATGAGAGGTGACGAGTGAGAAGGAAAGTTTGTTTCCAAGAGAGGCAGCATGCTCACCTTATCCCCAGTTTCCTCCTGCATCAAACTCAGATTTGCAGGCTTTGGTATGAAACAAAGACATGCTCATTCTTAAAATGCAGCACGGAACAACAATATATTTGAATAGACTAGGCTAATTGCTACAAGCAAGTGGTTGGCAATGGGCTAATAAATGAATCTTCTATTACGGCAATAGGAAATGGAGCTAGGCACGGGTTATTTGCAGAACAGACAAGCAACAATCAAATGAGGTAAGGAAGCAGTTCAATCAACAAAGCATTTAACAATAAGATATTTTTCACTTCAATACGGTTAGTACTAGCAGGTTAATTGGACAGAGATGGCCAACACATGCAGCATGCTGTGGCATATGCAATATTTAAACAGCCATAAATTTAACTTCAGTTAAGGCAACACAGAAAACCTCAATAGCAAGATCAAAAAGAAATAAATCTCCAGCACATCACTAGGTTGGCTGGATGAGAAACGTATACTAGACTACCTCGAATTACGTTCATTATGCATAATGATGGCTGTCTACAAAGGTTAGGCTGGCTTCGAGCATCAGGCACTACTCTATTTGTGAGTTTTATGCTTCTTCCCCTACACAACAGCATGCACAAATATGAAAGTCATTCAACAAGAGTCCATGCAATGTCGTGCCATTGATTGCATGCAACTCTTCACTTGATGATAAACTTTTAAAGACGAATTTTAAAGCTACATAGCAACAATCATTGCAGGTCTCGATTGTTTTATAACAAAAATTTAAAAAGCTTTCATTACCCACACAGTGTATTTAAGCAATCTATTTTTGTATCTGTTTACCCTACTCTAACTAGCTTCTAGTAAAAATCTACTTTAGAATATATTCTATTTCGTCACAAGGCATTAGAGTCTAAGAGCTTAAAAGCAATCGTTCAAGACAGTGTAAGGTTTTGTATGGCAATGTTGTAATAACTATATGTCAGCCTCACCAAAAACAAAAAGAGAGAAATTGATACAACGTAGCTTGGTTCCGCCAATGAAGTTACTTCGCTCTCAAATACTGTTTCGTTTATTATAGTGACAGCTCCAAGCAAATCAATACATTTCGAAGTTTAAAGTGCATGATCTCCAGGGTCATTGATTAAATAATGAACACATAACAAGCAACTAGCAAGTACTACTGACGTCATGCAAGTTGAGCAAAGTCTGAACAAAGTGCTTAGAAATGCATAAGTGAGCACGTACTACTCAAACCTTGATATAACGAACCCAGATATAATGAAGTAAATGAAAAATAGTTTTGCAATAGATGCACTGGTAAGAATGTACCTTTCTAACAAATTTTCATATACAACAAACTGATTTTCAGTGTAAGATGAAACTTTGTTACAATGAGGTTTGAATAGTACAGTTTAAAGAGTGAAATTTGGAAAAGAACTACTGCATTCTAGGCAGTTGTCTACCATCAACATGTTTGGGGCGCAGGCCTTTAGCCTGCGCCCTAAACATATGTAACTATTGATGTCAAATAAAGTTGATGTTACTAGACTGAAAGTAACTGTGCTGAATTTAATGAGGGCTAACAGACAATAATGCAAAGTAAGCATAGGGGACGTTATAGTAGTAATTGTAGTGCAAATTTAAAAAAACAGAGGCTTTCAAGATAACTTGCAGCCGGCAGGGACAGAACCGGCGATCTTGACCGAACCCGAAACTTTCGAAGGTCACAGGTTCGGCCTCCGTGGGTGGCAAGTTATCCTTTCTTCCACATTACTTTCTTCGCATTTATATTACCATTGCTACTAATAACATCTCCTACACTTTTCTTGGCATCATCGCCTGTCAGTTCTCATTCATATTGTGCTAACAAAGAAAAATAAGCCCCTAAATTTACACTTCCTGTCCTGAACCATGCGACCAGAAGACATAAATACTGACAATGCTGACAGTCTCCCTGATCAGTCATGGCAGTGTCACAGGTAAATACAGACAAAAATATAATCCACAGGGCATCAAACCTTCAATTCAAATTCTTCCCGCTCTGCTTCCTTCATCTTGTCTTCCTCTTGCTTCTTCTTGGTGTGCTCAGGCATAATGTCGTCAAGAACCTTCAGTTCCCGTTGCGTGAAAATGAAGTCCAGCAATTTCCGCACACCAATCATGACAACCAGCTGCAAGGCAGGGAAGTGATGTGTCACGTAGGAAGTCGCACGTTAATCACTTCAACTATACATGTTTTCACAGAACAAAATCAAAGGACATGTTGCAGAGACTACAGGGTTTAAAAAGAAAACTGAGGCTATCTGTCAAGGATGTGACATGAGAGAAGGACTGACTGAATCGACAAGGAAGTATTACAGATCAAAAGTTCAGAAACCAGAAAATGATAGAAAACTATCGTCTACCCCACTCTACCAAAAAAGAATACTCCGTGTTGCAGCACTGTTTTGCACCCACATTGTTAATCAGCTGTGGCGATCCAACACAGAAGGCAAGAAATGGCTCCTACAGTTTCACTATGCATAAAACATTATGTTAGGTTTATTTCAAAAAAATTTCTATGTCCTTACATATTATAATGATCACTTGGACAATTCATACAGAACCCTCCCCCCTTCCTGTTTAGGTGAGTGGTTGGGATGTTAGGCAAGGCTTTACGCATCAAAACAAAGTATGAGCAGCACAGCAGTAATTATTGCTGGGATTTTATGTGCCAATACCACAACATACTTACGAGGCACACCAGAGTGGTGCACCCTAATTTAAACCATGGGTTTTCAAACAGGGTTACACCGAACACTGAGGTTCCCTGAATGACATCTTCGTGTTCCGTGAGCGGCCAGAATGAGTGCAGCCTGCTACTGTTTTACCCCCATCAATTAATTTATTAAGTCAATTCTCTTTAATTCAAACTCGAAGGGACCTCTGAATTTATTTGAATTATAAAGAAGTTTGAATTATCAGAAGTTCTCAGATATACTGACTCCGGGTAAGGTGACACCACATATTATGATTAGCCATTGATTTTATTGCATTTAAAAATTTTTAGGCATGTTTAAACCTTAACTGCACGCAGTGAACACAAAGCAAAGGTGTAAGGTCCACAAGTTCAGATCAGACCTGTTAACAAAATTGTGAATTGCCGACTGCTTCTTTCCTATATGTGCCTTCAGCACAAAGCTTTCTACAATGCTTTAGAAGCATCACGGTTTACCATGCATGTGCTTCATTTCAAACATTTGTTTACTAGCAAAGCCTTTTCCTTGAAGGCCTGAAACACTTATTTTCGTTTTTAGATTGTTAGAATTACATAAGCACGTAAATGTTTAAACACTAGTGGGAAAGCAACAGATATTATCTGGTATGAAACCACAAGAGGTATGAATTAACCGAACGATGGAATTCGAGTTAAGGGGCTTTTAAGTATATTCAAAGTATAGAAGGCCAATTAAAATATTAGAATTTTGTTTGAATTACCTGGAAGTATGAATTATCAGAGTTTGAATTATTGCGAGTCTACTGCATCTAAAAAATAATATTAAGGTTGAGGGTTCCGCTGCACTCTGGAATGGCCGGCCAGAAAGTTTGAGAACCCCTGACCTAAACACACAGGTGTTCTTTGAATTTTGCTCCATCGAAATGCTGCTACTGTGGTCGTGAATTGACCCAGTACTTTAGGGCTTAGCAAGGTGCGACAGATAATGTGCTAACATTATGTGAACCTTATGTGGTAAGCTGCCACGGCGGGCAGAGAAGCACAGCAGTAGCTCAGTAGACGGAAGAGTATAGTGTTATGGTTCCACAGTGCTCACCATGAGAGGGAATGCGATGGAAGATGGCTTGTACGACTTGATCAGCCAGAGGCAGACGAGACAAGTGAGCTGTATGAGCGTGAACAGGTGCACTCGCATAGTGGGTACATGCCGCAGGAACATGTAGTCGGGCTGGTACTTTTGTGGCATGAACATTATCAGTATGCGGTCGAAGAACTGCACAGAACAGGTGCACACACAAACTCGCATATGTGGCAAGCCCAACAAAGATCATGTGCTATACCAGTAATATACATTTCCCACACTCCTAAACTCGAGGAGTAAAAATCAGCTAGATGCAGCTCCCAAACTCCCAAATTTTGCCTTTTTGCCACGCAGTTTCATCAAGCAACAGCATTATGCTTCAATTCATTATCTACAGCCTTGCTTAGGTGTTATAAGCCTGGTACATTCCTGTTAGAGATGCTTAGGTGTGCACAGCCTTGATCTGTAAGGTCAATAGTGTGTTGCATAGAACCAATGAAAAAAAGTGCACTTTAATAATACACCGATTACTGTTGTTTGATAAATGTGATACACCCCACAAAAAAAAAGGTGCTTTGGTTTTACAAGGGGTAACTGTCTTTATAAATTCAATTATAGTCAAAAACACTGAATCATTGATAAACTTAGTTTTATTTATTTCCTACATTTCATTTCGTTTTTTTATAATGTTTTCAATAAGAACATCTTATCACTCACTCAATTGCAACTCATTTAAGGTGAACCATAGCAAGCAGAAAACTGGCTAGTTATTCATTGCCCTTATTATCATTCCTTCTTTCAATTGTACAGTTAATGAGGAAGAAAGAGAATTTCTGTTGAGCTGGTTTAATTTTCATTTAAATAATGTCTTCATATGTGGCCCACTTGCATGCAATAAAGATAAGGCAATCTGCAAAACAAGGTACCTGTGAGCCTTTGAGTGATGACACTCCCATGTAGAGGAAGACACCGTATAATACAGCCATAGGAATACGCTGCAAAAACATGAACCACACATTAGGATTCTGCTTCAGCTACTACGTAATGCTGGTTGCTCACATATAGAACTGAAACAATCAAGCTCTCATGCTAGAACCTTTCACTGGATGAATTATTGGTTGACAGCTGTCGCATAGTGAGTATCTCCCAAAAAAATAGAGATGGCAAAAGCTTTCTGTTCACACGTGAAGCCCATAAGACAATTCAATAACATGATAAAGATGTTTCTTACTGTGTACGCTCAGTAATAGGCCATTTTGATTCACCACACAGCCCTAAAACTGAGTGCTGGTTGTAGCTCGGACAATATACCAGTGCTTTCAAACTGAACTCCCTTTGAAAAAAGCTATTTGATGCATTAAAAAAGAAACTTCACTAAAATTAACACAGCACTTTTGCAGCAACCAGGCACACAAAACATTTGGGTTAGATTAATGTATTATAGAGTTGCACAGCCTGATAGCATTCTCAGCTGCTTCAGCTGCTTGTGCCAACTCAAGGCTACCTACAAGCATAAAAAGATGGCTAGACTTTTTTTTGCTAGTCTTGCATTATACAGTAAAAGCTCCATAACGCAGATCTCACAGGACGAGAATAAATGTAAGATATAATTGAATTTCCAATTATCGGAAGAATCGAGAAAGCAATAAACAAATGTTTATTACATTAATATGCTTTCATTCTCTTGATCAATAAGTAAATCCTATTCTGCATAGGAGTGACGTAAAAGCCGCAGTTCTTGCAACGTTCGACTTTAGTTCAAAATGAGACCACGGCTAAAGACCTCTCAGTTTTAGCATATGGTTCTTGCTGATGACAGTGGTGATGCAGACTGCGCCAGCTTAGTCCAGTTGTTCGCGAATCCCATTTCCACTCCTTTTTGAACCACATTTGCGGCGATCTGCACTTGGTGCACTCGGAGAGTCATCCAAGTAAACCGTACTATGGCCAAGTATGTCCGAATTAATGAATTTAATGCCATTGAACAGTAAATATACTTGCGGGGCTAGTTAAACTGTCCAAATAGTCCAATTGTCCAGATTATCAGGTGTCAAATAAATGAGATTTTACGGTGCTTTAGTCAATAAAAGTGTGCTTAACTGGTCAAACACATAACTGTGAATGGTTGTACTTTGAAGGCCATACCTTGAGAACAGGAGTGAAGAATACTGAGAGGCCCACCAGAAGGAATATAAACACCTGGGTCAGCCTTTGTTCTCTGAAAATACAAATAACAATTTAAGATTCCCTATCGTTCACAACAAGTAAAGAAAAAACAAAGTAATCTTACACACTAGATAGATGAAATTGTGCAAGTTCTGGCAGGATATTTAATTTTAGATCTCCTACCAGAACTGATAAATATGAATGCCATGGCACCCCTGTAATCTGTTAGTGTCTTCACTTTGTTCAAATCTTTTCTTCTGCCATACCAATTTTGCCGCCTATTATGACTCATTAATGAATATCTAGCTAGAGCAAGTTATAATACTGTAAAATAATGAAAGGAAACGTTGAAAAGAAAGAGCCACAGGATGGATTGAGAAATAAACTCTTGCTAAAGTTAGTTATTGTCATCATCACTATTAATTTATATTAAAAAGTGCTTAATTAGGAGCAATGCAAAAAAATAATATGGTGACACAATTTCTTGATGTGACGTTAACCTCACCTTACACCAAGAACTGCGGCTTCTCTCCTGGTGCTGACGATTCTGATTCCATTCGAAGAGAGTTCACGTGAGTCATGGCTAGCACAGTGGCCGCAACAAACCAGGGCAGACCAAGGACAGAGCAGATGGCAATCAGGACACTCAACACCAGAAGGTCGAGATGGTAGCCGCAACCTTTCTGTTGGGGACAGCATAGGATAAAAGCAATTCAGAGGCAGGGCATTACTTCCAATGCTGTAGATGAAATCTAGTTGATACAAGAGCGGCTCTCGGTACTTGTTGCTCTAAGAATGCATTGCATTACTGCACTGGAATGAGGTTACATGGCAGTGCACAGACTACAGTGGATGCACAAACATTTGTTTAAATAGTTTTTTGCTCTAAATGCACCTCATAACACTTTATAGCTAGTTCTTTGTCCTGCTTAGAAAAGGTTCAATTGCACCAGCAGTGAGACACTACAGTCGAGCCCACATATAACGGCCCCACTTAAAACGAACTATTGCTTAAAATGAACGATACCCACCTGACCGTGGAAATCGCACTCACAACGAACGTCTCCGAGTGCGCTAATCGGCTACAGCGAATGGGGTCAGTGCTCAGGCGACTTCCCGGGACACCACTTTCGACCACTGATAAGCCATCGGCGGGGTGCCCATCAACTATTATTGTTAAATGTCGACACTGCTTCCACAGTCCTCTAATTGTCGCTCTTCCCGACCATTTTTTGTTAAACACCCCTCTGTTCTTTGTCCCCTACAGTACTACGAGCATCCCACGTCCCCAGACAAGGCCCGTGTTTTCTTTTGAAGACCTGTCGGTTGACTAGTCGTCCATCAGTTTTTGATGGCTGGTCTTTATTACATTGTCGTTGGCGTCACCGGCCTGAGTGATCAGACCATCTGCCAACATCTTCAACCGCCGGCGGTACCCGATCGTCTGCGTCTTGTCTGGATCGGTGCCGTTTCGTTCCAATGCATGCACTTGTGCTACCCCACCTACTTTGATAATTCACGTTTCGTTCCATGTTTAGGGACCTGTTCTTGCTCACTTCGCACTCCGTTAAACACGCCCTCCGCACGCGTGCGGAAGCGTAAAAACGGCCGTTACACGGTACTAATCACAAATATTGAAGCTAGCTGGTGCCACAATGCGATTTTTTTACCTCTGCTCGCGCAGGTCCCTTTCCCAAGTGTTCCTACGAGTGAGCGGTGCGTTTTGTGGACCTTTCAAGCAAGCTACACGGCATTCTTTCTTCACGCATGTATTAGTTTTCAAGGCCGCCTTCACGCCGAACGCTCCCCTTTTTTCACTCTTTTGCAATTCCGCCTGTCTCTTGCAAGTAATTTTAAAGTAATCTTTCCAGTGCCACCTCAGGTAGTCTTCTGCTGTCCTTCACTTAATGTTACTCCACTATGCTCCACCGTGCTCCACAACGCCAGCCATACTAGCTCTAATTATTGCCAGCCATACTGGCTCTAATAATAAGTATTTTTGGGGGTTAGAAATGGGCCTAACGGGCCGACAGCAGTTCTCCGCGTCCTGGCTTGTATGTCGCTGCGTGCACGTCTTGCTCCTTGTTGGTGTGCATGTGTGGTCAGGATGGCGAACAGGAGGCCTTCTGCACCTTTTCCTGCTGCTCAACATAACGTCAAAAGTGCGACTGCTTGGCTTAGGCATAATTGACGCATTCAAGACATTATATGTGCCTGGTTGTGGAGCGCTTGCTCATAGCTGTTGACTGTCTGGCAACCAACTTACCACTTCGGGCATCCCTGTATTCAGCTGTAGAGATTGTGGAGGCTTTGTGCGTGGAGGTGATGGCTACATGTGTGCGCAACTGTTTTTGCATAGCTGATTTCGTCAACGTCAGACCCGATGCCGAGCCTGACGCTTCTGAACCGGAACCACTCAGGCTGCGATTTGTGGCATTGCGTCGCCAACACCATGAGAGGGTGGGTCATCTGCTGGGATGATTTCATTACGGACGATGATGATGAGGACACTGCAGAACAGGTGACGGCATTTGAATGGAGTGCACAGCAAGAGCAATTTGGAGGAACCGGATGACGGCGACGAAACTTTGGAGCCAGTGCTCACAAGCGTTCTCGCAGTGATTGGCTGCACTAATGGCGTCAGACAGCTTATGTATGCTAAGGGCCTTAGTGAAGAGTGCACTGTCACTTTAATTAGGCTTGAGACCAACCTAAGCGCTTCCGCTCTTTGAAACGTGCATTTCGGACATTTTTTGTAGGAAAAAAAACTGTGTTTTCACTTGGAACTGTTTTAAAAGCAGTGTTTCATTTAGTACAAACTTTGGGATATGGCGAACGGATGCCGTGTCACACTCAGGTTCATTATAAGCGGGCTGGACTTAGCTCTCGGAGGCAGGGGTAATTTGTAAATCAGGATGAAATTTTTTTCTTTTCTCCTTTTTTTTTTTTTGGCTTTAAAACAAAGTATACAGACTTTAAATGAATGTGCTGGTGAAGTAGTCGGACAGACCTTCAACTTGTTTTCTTTGCGGTTGATGATGACAGCAGTGATCTGCTGGTCCATAAAGATGAGGATGGTGGCCAGCATTGCAGGGGCCGCGGCAGCCAAGGTTGTCCACCAGGGGTTCCGACCCAGCATTGGAATCAGCCAGCCACGGCCTTCCCAGGTTGGCTACGAGCATAAATCATTTTCCAAGTTGTGCCAGTCGTAACGGGCGATACAGATAATTGTGCTACTGTATTTCTATACTTGCAACTTTGCAATTGTACTGTTCTGGATTTTGGTCACTGTGTAGTGGAGCATATGCACCAACGTGTATGCCTCACCACGAACTGCAATAAAAAACCCTTAAGGAACACTAAAAGCTAAACGATTTTTCGTGTATTAGTAAAGTGCAATTTCCCAATCTCAAAAGCACTACACTTACTGCAGCACAATGCCTGGTAAGTGAGAAAAGACGCGAAAAGAAAATGCAGGCGCAAAAAGAAAATGCAAGTGAAGACACCACCTTGAGATTTCCACACGTAACACCATGATGTGGAAGATATTGAAGGTGTCTATTGGGTTCTACACAGCCTCTAATCAACAAAAATGAAGTGCATTGCCATCTCTGGGTGCCATAGACCTAGAATACCAAGTTTCAGAAAATTTCATCGAGCCAATGTCATCAAAATATGAAAAGAGCATTTTCAAATTTTCGATGTCACACATGGAAATTTTGGCATGAAATTTAAAGATGATACATCAATCTTCATTTTCTACGCTAATAATTAACTTAAGGTAGTGAAGAACGTGGCATTAGAATTCTGAGAATGCAATAATATGGAAAGCCATCTGAGTTGGTTTGAGGACATTCTTGGAAACATTTTGGCGTGTACACAACAGACAAAAAAACAAAAGGTGAGAGACAAACGAGCGCGAACTCACAACTTGGTTTATTGAATGAATTACCCGAAATATATATCCCAGGGTAGCTCAATAAGTGCATGTGCGTAAAAAGAAAGCAAGAAAAGAATACAAAAGGAAAACAAATGAAAGCACTTTACCTAAGGGGTATATATAACGTGCAGCAAAATGTGAAAGTCAAGTATGGCTCATAAACGGTGAATCAGCCAGTCAGAACGGCTTGTCAGTCAGAGCAATCGATGTGCTGCTTACGCATTCGGCATCAGCAAGCCTTCTCACATGAAATACTTCTACTATTTCCCGAGTTAGCTTGTCTAACTCGAGAAATAGTGACTTGAGTTGTGTCTAACTCGGGGTTGTTCTGACTGACAAGGAGTTGACCTTTTAGGGGCGAAGCTCTTATAGCCGCACCCGTTCGTCCCTCGTAGTCGTAGTCATAGTGTGTAACCAGTCTTACATTTTGCCCTACAAGGTGGTGCCGGTGGGAGATTTCTTCTGCGTGTTGTTGAACAATAAAAAATTTGCAGCGTGCGCGTTAACTGAAAGCCGAATTCTCCTGTCTCTCATTCCCCCTTAGCAGCTATTGGCATGTACATTGAGCGCTATCTGACAATAAAGGGTTGCTACGTTATACTCACTGGACGTAACCTCATTGGTTTCAGAAAGGTTTAGCGAGCGTTGGGCCGCACTGCCATGAATACAGTGAACTAGTATATACCATGAACTCGAAGTGGTTAAAGGTGGGAAGTAGACACGAAGCGCAAGCCGTAAGAAAGTGTGCGTGTGCCACCTCTCATTTAGTCCTTGGAATGTTCACTAAATGGTGGTGCTTCTATATGAGAAATATATAATGAAAAGATGCAAGATGGTGGTATTTAGAGTGTTGAATAGGTGGTTGAACCCACACACAGACAGATGCATGAACGGACGCACGCATGGCTGCACGGACGGATGGATACATGGACGAACGCAGGAGCGGATGCATGGACAAACGTAGGAACGTACGCATGGACAAACACAGGAACAGACACACAGATAGACGTGTGGATGCAGACACACGCACGGACAGGCAGATGGACGCACGGGTAGCCACACAGGCGCACGCATGGACGGACGGAAGCAAGAACAAATGGATGGACGGATGCTTCGCCCCACTCTCCATCATTCACTCTGTGAATATGCTGCCATTTTTTCTTTAGCCATACTTCACTTTTACATTCTGCAGCACGTTGTAGATACTATTTATGTAAAAGGCTACAGTCATGGTGCGTTTTCTTTTCTTGCTTGTTTCCTTTTCTTAGGCACATGCGCTCTTGAGAGAGAGAGAGAGAGAATTAACTTTATTAAAGGTCCTGAAAAGGACTGGGCACCCCTTACGGTGGCCAGCCCGGTGGCTCCGCCAGTGTGGGGACTGGGAGTCGGAGCTCGCTCTTGAGCTACGCTAGGATATATATTTCTTGTACAGTAATACCTCGTTAACTCAAACTTACATATCTAAAAAATTCTGCTAAGACAAAATTTTCCAAGGCACCGAAAATTTTCCTATATGCCCTATGTATATTTTCTTCCCTTTATCTCGAAGTATTTTTGGGTTGGATTGCGAATAACACGAAATCTTGGCTGGGAGTGGAACGAAAATTCAGCCACCAGACCATTTCACAAGATTAGCGCAATGCTGCCACGCCTAAGGTCCGTCTATGTTTTTTTCTTATTTATCTGTGCCTGCCACCTCATCGATGCTTTCCGCGAACACAAAGTGCACAAAGTCTCAGCCCAGCAACGTATGAACTTTGTCAAGAAACCCTGTGGCACGTCACGTGACTCATGTGCTGAGCAGAGAGGCCCCCTTCCCATGCCTGGTGTAGTTTGTCTCGTTCACTTTGTGCAGTGCACATTATTGCCCCCCAAGGTGCATTTCCCACAAGGTGCGATTTCCATTCATCTGTGCAAACCACGCGGTACATAATTTTTGCTGACTGTGAGTGCAGTGCTCATGATTTTCTCTGGGGTGTGATTTCCTTTCATCTGTGCAAACTGAGCGGTACGAATTTTGCACTGACTGTGAAGAGTGGCAACTTAGGGTGATTGCGGCAAGCATGGCGTCAAAGCAGTGCAGGTCGCTAACACTAGAAAAAAAGGTTGCCCTAATTAAGGAACTGGAGAAAGGAAGCCTAGCAGAGTCGTGCGTCGCGCATGAATTCGGCATCCCCTTGTCTACACAATCGACAGCGCTGAAAAATAAGCAGAAGGTGCTGGACAGATTTCAGCAGAGCTTCTCCAGCCAGCGGAAGTGGGTTCGAGGGTTGAAGTTCCCAGACGTTGAAGCGGGATTCATAATTTGGCTTCGAAATAAGGTTGAGTGCAGTGGCGGAAAAGATCGACAGTTGCGATTACCGCGAGAAGCTCGAGAACACTTTTGAACATGAGCATTAGGCGATTCGTCGAGAAGCTGAACATGAGTTGCGACTCGTTGAGAAGCTGGAGAACGTTTTTGAACATGAGCATTAGGCAGTTTTTTTTTTTTTGCTAAATAAAATGGCAGCGCGGCAAAGCCCAGCAAGTTAAAGTCTCTTGTATGTTATTTTTTTCTCTTTTACACCTGCACAACAAGAAATATTAGAAACTGCTGCTGAAGAGCCCGTAAGCAGCAGTAATTTTTCTGAAAAGCGCTCATTTTTCTCAGCAATTAGCACAACTTTGCTTATCTCGAAAAAACGTTTATCTTAAATTTTTTCTTGTTTTTTACGACTTCGAGTTAACAAGGTATTACTACTTCCTTCAATAAACAGAGTTGTGAGTGTGTGCCCATTTGTCTCTCGCCTTACGTTTTTTTCGTCTCGTGTGTGCGTGCCGAAATGTTTCAAAGAATATTCTCACAGTGCAGCTTGTCAATCTAAATCAAGTCATTGTTTCTCGTTAATGTCTCTTTAAGCCATATTTGAGACGGTGCCATACTTTCCGATGCAGCAAGGATTCTGCAGTGTAGCCATGCAGACTACTAGTACAGCTGATGGTCTTGCAGAGTGACGTGCAGATCATATTTGACATATGTGCTCTGCAATAAGCAAGTTGTGCAGATCGCTAGAAATACTGGAATCTATACTTGGCTGTTCGCCTCTGGTACAGACATAAATTGTGAGAAAAGGCTACTTCATTTAGTGTATTTCGTGGCATTAGGTCGTTTAAGTGCAGCTCCCTTACAACATCCCAAGCGTAATGGCTGGACATTTAATAACCTGGCAATACATCTTCAGGCTACTTTAACTCTGAGGGACAGAACCTTTGGTTTAAAGCTGCGTCTGAATAAGTTCTCTGAACAAACACATTTATACACTGAAACAGCGGTTAGTTTGTTCCCCCATTATCTTTGTAAGACATCCTCAACAGTCAACTCAGACCCTTAGTAAAATGTAGCACGTTACAGCAGTTTCACTGCACATGCAGTGACTCACCTCGAACTTTTGAGGCACCTCCAGTTTCGGAGTGTCCAAGCCAAGAAGCATGTCGGTTACAGTCATGAGCATGATGGAAATGACCACAGCAAAATCGCTCACCAGAGCTCGTATCTGCAACATAAGGCACACAACATACCACTTATGTGAAGCCAGATGGAGCAGCAGTACCAGCGCTAATGAGTTGTCTACTTGGATAAATGGCAAGTGAAACATTCTGCTTGGGTAGCCAGCAGAGGCCTGAAAATGGCATCACAGGAAGCTACATACTACCAACTGCAAGGTGACTGGTATGGAACAAAATAATACTTCTTGTCGATCACATCACACAGCGTGGAATACAGAACACTAAGATTACTTTATTTTCTGGAGCACGAAAAAAGTGATAGTGTATGATGTCATAATCAGGCCCTTGCTCACATTATGACAGGTTGCAGCTATGAGGCAAAGTTAAAGTTAGTAATGATGCAATAGATTCACCACGTATTACTCCACACAAAAGACTGAAAGAGAAAGAAAAGAGAATTCCAGCTGTCCAGACCAACATTTTAGCCTAGCTGTGGTGAGTGATGCGTGGATATCTGCTAGCATAACAAGATGAAGCTTAGGAGTAAAGGACAGAGAGAGAGGGCATTGTCGGAAAAAAATAGAAAGCCATAAGAGGCCACAGAAAATTAGAGACTGTTTGTCTTTCATCATTAGCTTGCATGTAATGTCAAAGTCAAGTGCTATATATTTTTGCTAACTCTCTTGTGGCATCACTATATGCACTGTACGAAATTCTTGCAGTAAGAGTCTCAGTTGCTCTAAAATGTCAAGCGAGAACTTTTGCGCTGCTTACTACGCCCACTAGATGCTTCACAGCAAGAAGATACACTCATCACCACCAGCCAGCAGCCTGTCAATGGAGAAGCAGCCAGAAAATTTCTCTTGGCTCTGTGAATGCAACTGATCACAGAAGCAATTGAATCTTCAGAGGAATAGAGAGAAGTCTAAGTAAGTACTAATGTAAGTACCACAGGAAGGTGACATGCCAACAATCGCACCGCCGAGTGCGCAAAAAAAAAAGAAAGAAAGGCAGCAGGGTCTCACAGAGGTAGGAAAGTAGCTGGTAGTCTTGAAGTCCTTGAGGAAGACAGCCAGTGTGAATGTAGAGATGAACAGTAGCACTGAGAACAGAAATACGTCCGCGTAGTACTGACAGCCCAGACCGTGCAGAGTGCCTCCATACTCTTTGCAGGCGTGCTTGCTCAGTATGGTCCAGTTGGTGGTTGAGTTTAGCAGGTCTGTTCCATTTGGTGGTTCACAGTAGCAGTCTACACGCACATCAATATCAAGGTTCATTGGGTATTTGTGGCCGATCTTCAAGACCTGCATGCAGGGCAACCAAACAATGGTGTGAGTGCATGTGTTATTTACTAAGTTATTAATTAACTCATTGATTATTAAGAATACAGCTCCCACAGGAAAAGGAGTACTAATTTATTAATTAACTCATTGATTATTAAGAATACAGCTCCCACAGGAGAAGGAGCAGCTGTTGAAAGAGTAAAAAAACGTCCAGCTACCAATACCAATACAGAAAAATTTACAGGGCATTACGCAGGGGATCTTGAATTTGTGGGTGTCAATTGTGGCAGCAGTAGTGTCAAAAAGGTAGTTCTATGTGGTGCTCCTTTTAGGAACACAAGATTCATTACACAAGTACACCAGACTCCCTCGCATAAAAGGCCACGGTGGAAACCGAAAGGACCAGGAAGATATATCTTAATAGGATTTCCATTCCCAGAGAGCTGAACAAAGGTGGAGGATACAAGTACGAAACCAATCTTGTCAGAAGAACTTGTTCTATTTAAGCAGCAGTTCTGTTTAAGTGATTTCCGTATAGTGAGAGCCTACAGTATGTGCAATGAGACGGCAAGCCAACCTCGCAATAGTGATCATTTCTAGCTGATACATAAAAAGGGGTATCAAAATAGGGTTTCTTTCAATGAAGTACATTAACCCTTTGTGTGACAGTGAGATACATGTACGTCCCACTTTTTCTTCAGCAGAAAAACTTTTTCTCTCATGCCAGCTGTAACAATTCGGCACCACGCTAAGTGGCTGCTCTCTCACCTAAGCTTCTGCAAGCCTGCAGAAAATTATCATGGTTTCGAAAGGCGGAAGTACCGCTACAATGTCATTGAAATTCATTCCATTATTTTCCCGAAGCTTCTGAATGTTTGTCCCGTTCAGACAAACAAAACTTGTCATTCATAATGCCAGATGGTCTTCTCTTCTTGTGGTTTTCTGGAGAGATAGTCTCAGCTCCCAGTCATCATGTCTTTATGTAGATTTGTACAGTAACATGACTGCATCCGAACACAGTCCTCTGTGAAATTGCTATGCTCCTCGCTAAGCCTAATTGAAAGATAATGGTGTATGCAAATGATTTTCTTGTTATCATAAACCTCTCTTGAAGAATGGGCAGGGACAATGCATTGGTACTCAATCATTACCATTGCAACAGTGCAAGAAAAGACAACAAAATGGACAAAGAACAATTGATGCATGTAGTGAAGCAGCCTTTACAAAAACAGACCACAGCCCTGCAAAGGTTGGCAAAGCAAATGTGCTGGTGCTCTTCCGTTACAGGAACTGAGGTGCGCACAATGTTCTCCCGCACAACATCGGAAGTGCTCCTTTTCGCCACTTGTTGCCGCCGTTTCATCCCACACGCTAAGCGATATGATCCCACAAGAGTGCCATGATGAAATTTGTTTTATACTATTTCTTCATAGTTCATGTGCATATACAACAGCCTGTTTTTATAACATTGTCTTAAAAATATACGCTAACCTACAAAGGGTTAATGATAGATTTTATTTAAAATATTAACGTGAGAGGCTTCACAGTAAGGGAATATGTCACGGTAACTTGGATTTTTCTTCAATGGCATGCAAAATTCCATAGCATAAAGTGTGTCGCCAAAGCTGTAGGACTTCCAGAATTATAACAAGGGGGGCCCAGTTTGAATCACATATGGTGCATGTGTACTCTAATTAATAAAGAGCACCGAGGTTTTGCATATTATACACCTCAATGGCCTCAATGGTATTAAAAAAAAACTGCCAGGCCTGCGCCGAATGCGCAGCACAGTCACAGTGAAAGCTGAAAGAGCGGGCTTTCTTGAGCATTCTTTAAACACTCTTTGGATAGCATTATCTGCACCAAAAATGGTGCAGGTAAAGTAATAGAACATGTGAATCGTGCTATTAGTGACACATTCAAAATGCACATTCCAGAAAAAATTCGGGGAGATATGAATTCCAAGGTATCTATAATAGTCAATTGATCGTAAAGAAATGTTATTAAAGCATGTGGGCAATGACCATGCCCATCACCTTCTGGAGGACGTCAACGATGCATAAGGTCAAAGCATACATTATTTATAACCAGATAACTCTACTGCATAGCCATTCCTATGTGTATTAGTATTGTAGAAAGGCATTACCACTTTGTGAGACCATACAAATCTGTGCGAAGTCATCCTTTGTTACAGCTACAAAAATTAAAGAGCGCTAGTTCGGCTTTGTCAGCCCATATTTTTGGTACATATATTCTCCACACAACAGCAGGCTATTTCAGAGCCAGAAGGTGTTCATTCTATGGTACTTAACTTTATAATTATTGTGGTGAACTAGCAAGCTTGGTTTGACTCCCAGTGAAATGTCCCACAAGTAATATGTAAGCCAGGTTTATTCGACCATCACTTACGTTTTCGATGGCTTTGTAGATAAAGATGAGCGAAATGAGGGTTGCAAAGTTTTCTTCTGTGAATCGTGTAATGTAGCACACGAGTGCACTCGCATCAAAGGCCACGAGGACAACTAAAATGGCTGCTGTCCATAATCCAATCCATAGCCGCAGTGAGAGATAGTCCAGATCATGGTCCCTAAGAAAAATATGAGCAAAGCAGGTCAAGGCATTCAATTCCGAACTAGCTTTCAACAGACATTTCCACGAGATCTCCTTTTCTAGGTTTCAACATACATTTCCTAATAACTGTATTCACGAGATTGCATTATAGAAGTAGTGCAACTGTTAGAAAACTGCACGTGATTTACACTGCAACGCACACTCAGATTAACGGAAGGCCTTTCAATTATACAAGTAATCAGACTCTTTTTTTCTTCATTTAATTTCCATACTTTAAAGACCCCTCCAGGGGGTGTTACATAAAAGATGGATGTAGAGAAGCTATACAAAATGGTAACCACGTATGTTAATTGTGAAAAAAGTAATGTTACACTTTGCAAGAATAAAGTTGGGCAGGTAATGGCGGCAGTGCTGCGAGAAAGGTCCTTCCATTCAGATGATAACCGTAAAAAAGAGGGAGGTGAAAAAATGTCTCGATGTGGCTGCGCGAATGGGTGACTTGTAAGGCATTACCAGTGTGATGAGATATACAGCCTGGCGGGGCGATGAAGTCCAGACAGTCAAATGAGCTGTTATAGAATTTGTGGAGCAGAGCTATGGTGAGAATGCGACAACGAAGTGCGAGAGTTCATAGAGATGATTCTTTTTTCAGTGATGACAAACTGACACGGTATGTGTATGATGAATAAATAAATCGTGTCGCACCGTTCTGCAGGATCCAAATGAGAGCAACCTTACTCAAGCTCTAGTCTGATCATGAATTTGTGCTCTACTTGCATATCCCACCTATCCCTCAAAAATAGTAAAATTGTTTTCGATATTAAGCTTCTCATTTGAAAAACATTTTTAAGGCGCTGGTGTGCTAGTGCAGATTCAGTGCTCTCATGTGAAAAAAAGAAGAAAACTATACTTTCCCAATGGTACATGCAATACTCTGGTGTTGTAGGCGAGATGCATAGTCTTTTTAAGCCTCTCAAATTATCACAAACATGTGTAAGTGTGCATGCACAAGCACACAGCCACATGCACACAAAAAATGACACTAATACAGGCATACCACTTTCAATCATCTGATTCAAAAGTGCTCTCCACAATAAAGTCAAGGGTCTGACGAAATCTCATCAGGCCGGTATGAAACATTGGTGGAACTTTGAAGGACCCCGACCATGCAAAAAATGTAGTTCTTTTGGCGTTTCAACTCTCATGCAAGAGCCTTGAGAACAAAAATCCCATGCGTCGGTTGAAAAATCAAGTATATTTCTACAAGCTTGGTCAGAGTCTTTAAAAGTTTTCAGCAATGCTACCTGTAATCAAAGCTTGCCCCCTTTCTTCTTGATAACTTGGCCCCTCCCATGGAGGCTTATCAACATCAGAAAGATTAAGAAGTGATCAGACGATGCATATAAAAACTGCCTCACCCCTATAAAAACTTGCCTTCATATTTTCTGATAATGATTAACATCACCTGTGAAACTGCAAGGGAGATGTAAATTTATGAAAAAAAAGTAGTATAAATCCACATGGTGGAGTTCTCCTTACAAAATTCCAACTAGTGTATGAGACCAGGCAATGTTACAACTGCACTGTGGAGATTCATTATTTATTGAAATGAAAATAAAACCAATAGAAATAAAATGTCATGGCAACTCACTTGCAGAAGTCGTACAGAATTGTCTCAAACACTAGCACTGGTCCGGTGCTACCCAAAATAGTAAGCGGCTGACCACTGAATAAGCCATAGAGGATTCCACACACTGCACCAGACATCAAGCTCTCCATGGCTGCCTGGAAGCAAACGACAACAAAATTTTCATTTGATCACCTGCATTAGGTTACCTTTAGACACTGCATATAACTAAACAAAATATATTTAGATGATATTACTTCAATATCAATGATGATTGCAGCTCTCTACTATCCCTACCGGTGAATTTATCAGTAAAAAAATTGGCCCTGTATCTGCATGTAATCTGCAAATGTCATCGAAAGACCATAGTTTTGCGTGTGGAGAGAGTGAACAAAACATTTATTTGATGTTCTGCGCAAGAAAATCGGTGAATGGTATTCCGGAGGCGCTGCGTAGAGTGCCTCGAGTGGGCAGCGGAGGCTCACAAGCGCATCAAGTCATGTCACACGTGAGCCATGAGCGCCATCTGGCAGTTTCTTTTGGAAAACAAAGCCCGTGGCTGTGCGCGCCCGTCTCAGACGTGATAAGGTGTAGAACCCGAGGCGACGGGTAGGTGCCACCACCATCTCGTCTTAGCAAAGCGTTGGAAACACTTCCCATTCCATGCAAGTGTTGCATGATAAGCGCAGCGTGATAAATGCTACGGCCCTTGAAATTACTTATGTATGCGTTTCTAGTAAGCGATGCATATGCAGAATATATGCGTGTTGCTATGGTGCCCCAGACATGCGCAATATTTAACACACAGACAAATGTACAGACAGACAGACCAAAATTTTTGCGTCGAAGGTCCCCAAGAAAGACCATCGTCTTTGATATAAGAAATGCACAAACGTACTCACATTTTTAAGTTACCTAACAACCAATTCAAAGCTGCCCACTGCAGTTCAACAGTAGAATAATCCAATGTCCTCATAAGTGATGTCCATGGCAAAACAAAATAATAAATCACCTGTGATTTGGGAATATCCACAGAATTTTTGAGAACTACTTAATTAAGGGATGAAAGAGGAGGAGAATTTTTTACGCAAATTTTCACTTGTCACTGAGAATGAGCTATGGCATGGGCTTACGAATCACCACACTGGCACTACAATTAAAAATTGTCTGGAAGAGGAAGCTAGTACGTATCCTAATACCCACAATTCTCTGCTCTGTTGCGGAGCCCAGGAGACCGCCAAACGTGATGATGGGCGTAAGGCAGGCGAAGTACAGGAAGAACACAGAAGCAACGGACTGAAGAGCAAAGGCGTCCTTGAAATCACTCAGGTACCATGGTGCTTTGCGTTTGATGTCGTTTATAAGGCCGCCAAACAACCTGCACATTGGAATATTTCATGCATGGTTGACTGCAGTGGAAATCCTTCTAGGGAGGTGAGAATGTGATCTTTTAATCAATAATGTGAGCCCCCCTGATAAGACCATAACTAAATGCCCGCATGTATGTTCATTGTCTATTACCTGCATATTCCTCTCATTCTTTAGCCCACCTTGCAGTGCATTGCTGCTTTCTTTTTTTTTAAAAGTTTAGAAAAGAAAAAGGTGAAACTCTCCGGTCTACACACAAGAATGTGAATATAGATGCAAAAATGCACATTCATAAATAAAATTAGACATAGCATTAATAAAGAATACACTTACAAATGTTCAGCACCAATTTTAAAAAAAGACAGATGAAGTAAATTCTTTTTAGTAAAACTCAGAAACGTCGGAAGTCGATCTTGTGAAAATTTCAACTTAAAACTTAACAAAAAGCACTGAATAAGCACTGAATATGTAAGAAACTAAACAAAAACTCGCATATTATTATGCATTAAAACTTGAGAAAATATAGAACTTTGAACTAGAGAAATTGTCCTTAATAAACATGCCAGTTATCCATGTTACTACGGCTTGATCTCATTTCAGTAATGGTTGATGTAAAACGCTATGTACTGCAACAACAAAGGATAACGTACAGTAGTTCAATCGAGTTTGATACAGCTTTCTGTTTTGGTTTTTCTCAGAGAAGGTACTGAAGCAGCACAGGTAGCTTATTGTGACAGCTTCAAGTCTGTTAAAACGCCAAGAAGGGAAGCAAAGAAATTATATCCCACGGTAATATTAAGTGAAATATTTATTCATATTATTATGATGATTCTATAGCAAGTGCAGTCGAACCAACAAAAGAGAACAAAGTGCCAGCAAGCATGGGAGAAAAAACGGGGACCTCAGACAAACTAGCGAGGTCTTAATGACCCCACTAAGTTTCAATATAAGCCCTTTTTATTTACCTCGACAGGATTGAGCAATTATATGGCTTCTCTATGCCATATATCCCACACAATTTTATTGACTAAGCAATGTTATAATAATAAAGATCTGCACATTTTTTTCCTTATTTAATTTTTATGAATCACTCGTGAGAGAGAGAGACAATATCAGCATTACCGTCATGCCTGCACACTGCCTTCATAACTTCTCTTTCTTAACTACTGAAAGCTACATACATACACACATACATAAATACAAAGAACTTCACTGAAAGGTCCTCAGAGTTTGTGGAATGAGTGAGAAAAATGCCGCCTTGGTGACTCTATTGATGGGCGTAATTGATTCATCATGCCAAAGCAGGTATTGCACCCCCATGCGCTATTACTAAAAAAGCGCAACTAAATGTATTTCATTTACACCGTGTTTAGTCCTTCCTTCAGTCATCACCCCCCTTTCCTCTCAATCAATTTCACACTCTTTCTTTCTTCTGTGGGGCTCTGTGTTCATGCCAATTTCGCCTACTCGCACCCACCTTCCTGTCCTCTTGAGACCACTCTCTTCTCTTTCCTTTTCCTCCTCCTCCTGTGGGGTGAAGGCTGGCTCTTTCGAAGGCTCCTGTTTCTTGCGACCTTCCTGCAAACAACACAATTCGCACACATGCATACCGCGCATACAAATAACAAAAAAAGTGCAGGGCAACATCACAGACTTGACGGTACTTTATTATACATGAGCTGTTTCAGAATAGGAAAAATTCAGAAAATTCAACAGTGTTGACGTTCAATGGTAGAGCTGTGCAAATGGACAAATTTCGGATGTGAAGCAAACTTGAATGTTAAAATTTGAGTGAAAATCAAATAGAATATTCTTTAACATTTATCGAATAATTTTCAAACACTTCCAAGTGAAAATGCAGAAAGATGTTGCAGAGGATCTCCAAGCACGTTGTTATTTAATGGGGACGTTCAAGCATTTTTTGTGGCCAGGTTCATGTTGCAGAGGGTGCTACAAAATGGTGTTTCTGAAAGTGTAGATAGCCCGGCCAGTTGGTAAGGATCCATGGTAGCAAGCAACGCGAAAAAAACAAGACGGACGCACAGGAATGCAGGAAAAATTGCGCTAAATTAGAAAAAGACACCACAAAGAAGGAACACTAAACAGATTTGGCACAAACTACCAACTGTTTTTTATTGACTGTAGAGCGTCGGTTATATGGGCAAACCAAACATAGCTGCACAGATGTTCCAGGAACATCACATGTTAATGCACCTTATTCATCAAAAAGGACACTTCTGCACCCTAGAGCAGTACCGAAGCTTCACTTTTCGTATGAGTTGATGAACAACGCTTTCAAATCTCTTCTGATGATAAGAGGGGATATTAGAACCTCTTGAGAATCTTTTAGGCAGCAAACACCAAATAAAGCTTAGCAATGAAGGACTACTACAGAGTAAATAGTTTTCATTGATCATTTTACAAACTATATATTAACAAGCAGTGCAGTGATTGGTTAATGATGGAAACTTGTGCGACATTGCAGCATACAAGAATGAATGTTGGAGTTAAGTAATAGTAATCAGGCAGTGCATTCAAAAGAGCGCTAAGCTGTGCACGGCTTCAATAAATCGAAGAAAGGAACTTCACCTGCGAGGGAACATGCTGGGGGGGCTCAATGCGAATGGAAGGATCCCAGGCACCCGGAGGCAGCACTGTGGCTGCATCTAGGAATTCATCAACTCCGGCCAGAAGGTGGTCTCTGTTCTTGGCCTTGAAAGCAACGTCATGGAAGACCTGAAAGAACAGGAGCGCTCACATATTGTGGCACCTGCATCGGCAAAACCAGCGACAAAGGAGGCAGAAGAGCTACTATAACGTTGCACTGCAAGAAAGAGCGAATGAACGGTCATGGTGATGAATGCCGAAGGAATGGGAGAAGTGCCGGCTTATTTTCCCCTTTGACCTTAACAACATTACCAATTTTCTCCAGCAATTATTAATGGCTTCAACTGCCATCAATGTATGTGGCACACATATGAGGACTCGCAATATACCAGTACCAGTACTGGTAAAATGCAGCAAAAACCGCATGAGAAGCATCGCTTGTACACCCAAGTTGTTTGTTGCAGCCGGGAAAAAAAACCACGCCAAGGACAAATTTGTAGTGGTTATGTATTTGAGACAATTAGTATATTGGCCAAAATAAACTGTACTTGTTGCTATCAACTGGTTTACAGTACTCACGGATTTAAATGCAAAAATATAGGGCGATCTAATGCATGCTCTTTCAAATGTCGTATGAATGTAATTTTCAAACAAACACTTGGCCAACATTATCTTTAGCAGTCAATTCTTTCTGTGACGTTATGAACAATTGCTTAATCAAGAGTACTTGCTAATAGGAGTCATTGCGCTAAAAAAACGATGTCACACTCCAGTTTATGAGTACTGTCTATATAATGAGTAACTCACGTGCCTGGTTGAGTAGAAAAAAAAAACATCAAGAAAACCCACTAAGCACTTTGCTTTCTTTGATGTAACAATGTCATGCCGTCCAAGCATTCTTCCTCTATGCTATGCCTGCAATGTTACAAATGAAAGTTATGTTTGTAGACATAAACACACACACTGGCACTGCAAATAAGAGCAGCCAACATTGCTTGTGGTGAGCTTCTCAACACCAAGCAGCCCTTGCCATAAAAAAGTATACTTGTTCCTATCAACCCCGTGTAAAGCAAATGAACAACTTATTAAACGTCTGCCTTAGTGAATGGGAAAAAAAATTTTGCTAAAGAACACACACATTAAACCCTTCATCTCCTTTGAGTGGCTCACGTTGCTTAGGCCAAGCTTCTCAACACCAAAAAAAAAAAACCCGCAGCAGAGATCAAAAAGTGAACTCACCTCGTCGGACATGAGAATAGCAATAGCACGGCCAATCTCGTGGTAGCGCACCATGTTGCCCTGGGGCCCCAGCAAGATGAACAGAAACCGGGTGGGCACAGGCACCTCTGTGAGGTCGCCCAGAGGCACTGCGGCCGCCAGACGCACAAAGGCGGCAATTGGCCGCTCCAGGAACTCCACCTCACCAACAAGAATGTTGGATGCTTGTGATCCCGGCGGGATTTTCTTCATGAATGCCTGGTTTAACTGCACACACACGGGCCCAGGAGCTATTAGCACTAGCGAGGAATACAAGTTGCTTAAACCGTACCTATCAACTTGTGAAGAATCATAATTTGGGTAGAAGTAGCATGCACTATCGTTCGACAATGCGTTTTTTTCTTAGGTTCTTTTAAAAGACATTGCTGTTGCCAGCTTCACTTGCTTTAGAAATCTGTCTGTATAAACTTTCTTAAATAAGCTTTGAAAACTGATGGACAAACTTTCACACAACTTAAATAAATTTTTTGACAAAATATTTGTAAAATCACCGCATGAGATTCAAGTTCCTAGGCTAATTTAATATTCTGGTGAGTTAATAGGCGTGAAGTCATGCTCACACTTATGGAACCAACAATTGAAGCAAAGTGCATATGGACACAATGAAGTTGTATGAGATATGATAGCTCAACTCAATCTGAAACTGTGATATAAAGCCAAGTGGTAGTAATTCATTTTTGACACACTTCAACCTATACATGACTATTAAAGATGCTCCAATTAGGAACTTACCTACATTTAACCCATTATGTTATTAAAATGATAAAGAAAAAGTTTACAGAGCATAATATGCCAAATGAAATAATACTAATAACATAAACTCTCCACCCAATTTATAGTACAAATTTTTTAATTTGATAAAAGTTGAAAACTGTAAACAGACCCGACGTTTCGCGACCGATTTGGTCCCTTGTTCAGGGACGACTGTTCGGCCGGCTTCGCAGCTAGCGATTTCTATTGGTGATATACTTCTCAGCAACAACGGCGGAAAGAAGGACGATGAAGAGGACAACACCATAAGAATAATTGCTAGGTGTGGAGCCAGCCGAATAGTCACCCCTGAATAAGAGACCGTATCGGTCTCGAAACGTCAAGTCATTACAGTTTTTCAGTTTATCTAATTAAAAGCTTTGGACTATAAGTTGGCTAGAGAGCTTATGTTATTATTATGAAAGTTCACCCAACCAGGCAGATATCTGTCGAAGATGTCCACTTTCGAATGAAACAAGCAACTAGAATGCCACATAGGGTCCTATCTGAAATAAATTGCAGCTGTCCTCTAATGCTATGTTCTTAATTTATCACAACTGAAGCTTAAGCTATCGCATGCTTGAGATCATAATAAGCGAATGCATGGTGTTTATTTTCCCTATGGGAGTTTTCTGGAACTTGGTATTTTCTCAAGTAATGTATTGTGCACTTTTTTAAAAAATCATATATAAATGGGAAAAAAAGTGAGTGATGCTTAGATAAAAACCCAAGAGGTCAGAACCTGTCTGGCTTCACTTTAGTTGTGACCCTCAATGTTCACTTATTTAATGTATTATAAAATATTGTAGTTCAATATATAGCTTGTTCTCAAAATCTGTAGATTTTTATAATACATACTTTTACTGTGTTCATGTGCCAGTTATCACTTGAGTTATTAGAGACCATTCTCCACTGCATGCCCGTCACTCCAAAACTGCCACTTGTGGGGGTGCTGACACCCCCCCCCTGTAAAGTTGTCTGCGCCGCGTGGCGCACGTGTCTCGCCCCAAGGCTTTATTGCGGTGGTGACCACCGCCGGGCGATAGATGGCGTTGTGTTCGCTTTCAGTACCACTGTTGGTAGAGTGGTAGCGCCGGCGGTGGCCCCTGGCGGAAGGCAGGCCTTGGCGGTGGGCGAGCGTTGAGCGAGCCTCTTCTGCGCGTGGCGGCTGCCGCGAACGGTTGTCTGTAGCGCGGGTCCCCGGTGCTCGGCACCGCGGGCTTCGCTCCGGGGTCCCACGTGAAAGTCAGGCGTTGGCGACGCCGTCTTGGGTATGTGCTAGTGTGTTGAGTGTGTTAGTGTGTGTTTATCATGTTATTGTGTGTTTAGTGTGTCACTGGGTTATGTTGTTTGTATGGTAGCGTGTTAATTGAAATTGTTGTATCATTCGGCGGACGATATCGTCGTCTAAATTAGTTAATAAATGTATGTATGTTGTGTGCTTTGGTACCGATCGTGTCAACTGTGTCCGTTCACTCCGAGAGCGTGGCGTGGCGGTGCGCGCGTTCGCCTCGCCGAGGCCCCACACTGGCTGCCCAACGTGGAGCTCTTGGAGTATCGGACGACAGTTTTTGCGGTTCGGTACAGGGATTTTGTTAGAGCCGGAGTAGAGTAGGCCTAGGGGGGACTTCTTTGCTAGCGTCGGTGGTGTGCTTTGTTGAGAAGCGAGGGGATTGGTTTTGTAACGTGTTTCAATTTGTCGGCAGGTTGACTTTCTATTTTTTTTTGCTCGCAAGTGTTCTTATCTTTTTGTTGTTAGTTTTCAAAAACGTTGTTGAATTAGGACGAGAGCCATGCGGTCCGCATCCTGGGGTGAGCAAGGCCTAGAGCACGTGGTTTGTAGGCCAGGCCCGAAGCGAGTGAGTACGGAAGCCTCGTGGGTGGTCCCATTTTCTGTAAATAGCTTCTTCTATATCTTTGGGCTCAGGGAGCCGGGCGTCGTTGCTGACTTGTATTGCGGCTCGACGCCGGGGCGTCGTGACACCGCCCGGGGCGGTGGACGCCGATCGCTCGGTAAGCTGCTGTGTGCGGCGAGCGATAGGGCCACCTCACAGAGTGGACGTCTCCTCGCGGCTGCCTCTTCTGCGCCTAGGCTGGGTGCTGGGTGGATGCCGGTTGTTGCCGAGCGACTCTTTAGGCCTAAGGCTCTGCGCAGCCGCCTGTCGCACGTGGCACAACTAGGTGGATCGTAGCGTTGAGGTGTTGCGCTCTGCTTCCCTCACTTTTTTTTTTCTTGTGAGCACGAGTTAGGAAAAGTGATTTTTGTTTTTATTTTGATGGGCGTCTCGGCCGCCACCGATGTATTAGCTAGCAGTACTAACCACCGTACCACGTGGCCGAAAAGCCTGAAGCTCCCTCCCCTGGGCCGCGCTCCTTTGTTTCTTTCGAGTTTTGTTTTTTGTCGATGTATTCAGCGGGAGGGATGTCATCCACGGCCGGCTGTCCTGCACATCGTCAGCGTCGTTGGCCAGGAATGCGGTCGTGAGGTCGGGCGATGGAGATGCCTGGGACCTGCGCAACTGCCTGCAGTCCGGTGCCCTCGTGAGTGCTGGTCGCAACTGGAAGACGTGTCGGCGCTAGCGACGGATCGTCGCGCCGACGGCAACGTTGCTGTTGCGGGGCCGGTACTGAGGTGAAGTCTAGCCGGACAGTGCAGCAGTGTCGACCAGCGGCGGTGTCGTGGTGCAAGGACATTATGGTCGTGCGATATCATTTTTTTGTTAAAGCTTGTGTAGCTAGTTTTCGATTTTGGGATATGGTTTGATTTAAGGTTGGGGGAATGTGGGGGTGCTGACACCCCCCCCCTGTAAAGTTGTCTGCGCCGCGTGGCGCACGTGTCTCGCCCCAAGGCTTTATTGCGGTGGTGACCACCGCCGGGCGATAGATGGCGTTGTGTTCGCTTTCAGTACCACTGTTGGTAGAGTGGTAGCGCCGGCGGTGGCCCCTGGCGGAAGGCAGGCCTTGGCGGTGGGCGAGCGTTGAGCGAGCCTCTTCTGCGCGTGGCGGCTGCCGCGAACGGTTGTCTGTAGCGCGGGTCCCCGGTGCTCGGCACCGCGGGCTTCGCTCCGGGGTCCCACGTGAAAGTCAGGCGTTGGCGACGCCGTCTTGGGTATGTGCTAGTGTGTTGAGTGTGTTAGTGTGTGTTTATCATGTTATTGTGTGTTTAGTGTGTCACTGGGTTATGTTGTTTGTATGGTAGCGTGTTAATTGAAATTGTTGTATCATTCGGCGGACGATATCGTCGTCTAAATTAGTTAATAAATGTATGTATGTTGTGTGCTTTGGTACCGATCGTGTCAACTGTGTCCGTTCACTCCGAGAGCGTGGCGTGGCGGTGCCAACTGTGTCCGTTCACTCCGAGAGCGTGGCGTGGCGGTGCGCGCGTTCGCCTCGCCGGGACCCCACACACTCGCAGAGCTAGTAACAACATCTCGAACCTAACACAAGCGTACAATATAATGAGTCTTGCTTAAACTGACCCTGTGTTGAAGATCAGGAGAACTGGCATTGGTGGCCGCATCTGTCAAAGTGGAGCCGCTGTGTGCCAGTGCTGGGTGTGGAGCGTGAATGTGGAGAGAATTGGAGCTGGGGCTCTGAGTCATGCCCTCTGCATTGTTCCCAGAGCCACCTGCCGACAGAAAAATGAATGCCTCTGTTCGATAACTGACACAAATGACGGGCTTTCATTACAACTCGCATGGTGCATTTTGTTGTCATTGAATTCGACTGCTGATGTAAGTGCAGCAATAAGGTGCTATGCCTCACTACAAGAACTGCTGTTCCTGGTCAAGCTTCCTGAAGAATAGAAAGCAAATTGCACGATTCAAATGTAATTCAAAGGGGGCATCAAGAAAACTGCACATACACCCGAAGCTTGCGCCATCAATAGCATTTGTGCTCAACGCTGTCACACAATTATGGGCGTGCTTCTTGTGCCCTTCTTGTGGCTTGCACTCAATCCTTTAGTTGGCCTACAGCGAATCTCTTATGTGTTAAATAGATCTTCTCAACAGCTAGTCAACGTTTAGGCAATCTAGACATTGTTTTTAAAGAAAAATGAATGGTTGTAGCAACTGAGATAGCTACACAAGTACAGCTGTTCTTTTAGTGAGGACACTGTTTTCTGTTAACCATAAGCATTATGCTGCTCGCTCAGAAGCAAGGGCAAGCTGCTGTCACAAAGCATTATATTGCAGAATCGAAAGAAAGCAGGAAATCCGATCAAACGTTCCATTCATTCCACACAGACTTGTCTTCCAACACATGTGCACACATTGAGAATGTAACAGTAGCTTCATAAGTACATAAGACTGCGCAGCTAAGAACAGCAAGTTACATGGCTGAAAACTGGAACGGTTGTGCATGTGCCAGACACAAAACAGGCTACAATAAGTCACTGGATTTCTTTCGCTGAAGATCACAAAAGCAGAGCGGCGTGAGACAAACTTTCTTTTTTCTAAAACTTTATGCAAATAGAAAACGACAAATGGTACTGAAGCTATGGCCTATAACAGCAGAAGACTCCACTTTACTTAAATGTCAGGGCAATCCTTTGTTAAGTTACCTATGGAGTGAGTCTGAAAATCTGGCAAGGTGATTACTTGAGTCAAGAAAGTGCCCTTGCAATATTTATAGTCAACTTTCACTACAGCTTCTTTTGTCTCTAAAGCAATGTACAATCAAATTTAGATACAAGAATTTGTCTTTAAATAACAGATGTAGTGCGCCGTTTGCACACTAATGTTGCACATAAAGTGTTACAAAAAGAATAGCCGACAGACTAAGAAAATGATTTATGCAGCCTATGAAGATACGTGAAGTGGAGTCTCCTTTTCATTTACACACATACAGCAGCCACATTTACATGAATGGGATGAAAACCCAAAGCAGAATCACGCGACTCGTGTCATAAGCTCTCAATGTAAGAGCGAATTGACTCAAAGCAAGATAAGGCTAATAATTTTGCCATAAAACTTTAAAAGGCTAAAATTAGGGTTGTACAGTTTACCTCTGACTACTCTTGTTTCATTTTTCTTTTTGTTCAATAGAAAAGCAGATCAGCATTTCTGGTGCCAATGATAAACTTAGAACTCACTGCAAGCAAATAGGTAATTATGGTAATTTCCATCCTTCTCAATGAGTCATACTGACTGAAGATAATATGGCAATGCAAACTGGTTGCACCTACAACTTTGACTTTATCCTGGGCTAAGTTGATGAGAATCTATATCTTCCGATTGTAAAAGAATAAGTCAGAGCTTGTTCACAATTTTAGAAAATGTGTTCCAAAATAAACAGAGCCATGCACACATGGACGCATAGTTAAAGCAGTGGTGAGAAGTAATACTGAAACTGATGATCAAGCACACTTGTACTGGTAAAGGTGCACTGCACAAAAGAAAAGTACAATCACGTTTGATGCTTGAGCTTGGGCATCGCATTTATGAAAATAGTGATCAGCAAGGCTCAAATATGTGAAGTTAGCAGAGCTGGCAGTGCAAAAGATGAGAGAAGCCATACAGGGCGTGGCCACCACCACAACACAGTGATAACACATCAGGCACGTGGTAGGTGTAAGGGTTAGCCGCCAGTGCATTTGCGCAGCCTTCAAGGTGCCTTTGTTACCAGTAGCAGCTCCAGTTTCCAGGTCACCCTTCTGGAAATGCTCTCGATTGCGATGACTGAATTTCAGGTCAGAAATACATGGGCTTTTCCAACCCCAACAACTTCGATGCCCTGCTTTAAATACAGCCCACCAATATATAAACTAAGAAATTCGAAATTAAAGAGAAATTGAGGATTGTACAAGTCGGTCAGTGCTACTCAGATTGGCTTTGTGAAGTACATCAACCATCAAAGAGTACACATTAATCGTGATGGTTGAAAAAAAAAAAAGCTCCAACATATGCAGCGTGCATAGGCTCATGATGTCAAAAGGTAAAATAGTGAAAGCTGGGTTAGTGCTTTCACTAACTGATCATGAAATTATGTTATTTATTTAGAAACACAACTCCTTTCACGAAAGTTGTGCCAGAGACATTTATTTTTCGCACACTCGCTGCTGTTTTTGTAAATCACTCAGGAGCACTACAAGATGGAAAAAAATTGTTTAAACTTTTTTTTACTAAAATCCAAGTTTCTGAAAGAATGTAATGCACTGTAGTGAGAATGCTTAAACTTTTATGTAGTAAGTACCCACAGAATGAAGAATACCCACCATAAAAAAAGAATATTGTCATTAAATATTTTTAGAGGGACTGCTATCAGTCTACCTTCAACACTAATCTTGCAGATGGCTAAGATGCAAGCAGTAATGACAGAGTGCTAGCATTACAGTACACATTTTTGCCATAAATAACAGCAGGCAGAACCTGTTCAGGATTCAATGGAGAGCCTTCCAGCAGGGTGGTGGTTTGGAATGCAGCCACGTGACAAGATACACTGACACGGGCGAGCGGTTGGTTGCATGTGTGCTTTCTTTTTTCAGGCACCTTTACCACAAAAGAGTTCTCTGAGGACTCTGGTTGGACGCCAGCCCCCAGGGTTGGTTGCTTCAGCGTTTGTAGCAGCTGGTGTTGTCGAGACCATCACAGACGTTGGGTCGGGATTAAGTGATGGACTAGAATCCTTGCCCCCGTTGGCTGGGTGTCAGTGTTGGTGTTCAACGCCAACCGAGGAAAAAAGAATAAGTGCAGAACAACAACGATGCGGTAAATGCGCCGCAGGACACACGACAACCACAGTGGCAATATATTTTTGATAAAGGCATCTTAAGATGCCAACAAACTGACGGTCACAAAGCAGCAATACGTTCATATTCAATGAGCAACTCAGAACTCGAATCATGAACTTCTTCTGGACTTCCTTGTGAATAACTTATTTTACAAGTGACAACAATAAAGACCTCAAAATATTTAAAACTGAAAATTGACAATACTTTTTTCTTCATATCATGTTATGTTATCTTTTTTTTGGCTCATCTGCTATTGCAATATGTAAAATATAACAGAATTTAAAGTAACTTCGTGTGTCGCATCCAATACATGCACCTGAGAAGGTACAGTGCAATTTTCTTTCAGAATACAGATATCTCTCAAAGCACATCTTTCAGTTAACGTTTCACAAAACAATTCAGGACAAACACATCACACTGCATATAACAAGAACAATGACAACGTCCTGCTTTAAATCTCATAGAACAGACTCACTCGTACAAAGCTGTCACAAAACACGGCACAAATTACCCCAAATGAAATCATGCACACAAAATTGCATTACCAATTTACGTTCACCATTCCATTTGATGTACACACAGGCCAAACAACTCTATTTAAACAAATTTGATACAGTGCACATTCCCTGTTAGCAACTGAAATGCAGCTGCAGCTTGAACGCGAATAAGTTATCACTGTCAAGTTTCTGTGGTCCTATGAACAATGTAAAAAATTCATCAGAAGCATGAAACAGCCCCTCAAATAATGAATTGATTACTAGCCATTCCTCTACAGGTGATAGAATGAATGATATACATAATGACGAGCAATTGCAGTGATATGCTGCAATGTAAAAGTGAACTGAATGCTAGCTCTAAAGTGAAATGGCAAAAGGACAATCCTGTAAAATAATTAATCTCCCTTGAAAGCTTGCCCAAGCATTCAAAAAATTCAGGGGCCCTATAGCTTCACCTTTAAGAGTTGAACGTGATAGAGATCTTCTGTTCCTAGTGTATACTTCAAACACTTAGTGCATGAAACCTTTTGGAACTTGCTATGCACCCACTACGTGGCCTTAAGAAAACAGGTGCAGTAGGTGTGTGCCTTTTGTAGTGGGTTATTGCTTTTAAACCACGAAGCCATCATGATAATCACATGTCCCCACACCCTGATTGCAATGGGCGCTTGTACCGCGTATTATTTCTGCAATATTTGACGTGGTATTGTGAAGCATGTAAACAGGACGCATGTTTCTGTTAAGCATGTGTCACTTTCTCTACATTTCCAAGCATAGAAAGTTTTCAATGTATGCAAAAGCAGACCCGTGGCCATGTGATAAAACATCCACTTGCCATGCCAATGACTTGGCTTGGATCCCCACTCTGACCCAGAGTTTTTCTATTATTTATTTTATTTGCATCGTTCTCGATTTCGCGGTCACGCATAAGATGATTTTTCACTCACAACCAGCGACGCCGACACCAACGCCGAAGCCGCAATTTCTGCGAAACGAGCTCTTTTATGCTATCTTGTCAATAACCTTTGTCACTGCATTAATAAAAGCTGCCAGAGTGATTTTTCACCCCACAGGCAAGAGTTGACAATAGCTACACTAGGCCGAGAACACCATTTATTAGTATAAAAGAGTGCAGGTACCATCACCTACCATAAAGCTAAGTAAGTTGAATAAATTTAATTTAGTTAGCTTATAAATTTAGCCCTTACAATATCATCTGCCTTGAAAGAATAAGAAATCTCTGTGATCGCCATCTGGAAAAGTTGCTGTGGTATCACAGTGCAAAAATAAACAGGCACATACATAAAAAGCACACTAACAGAACACTAGCACTCATGTTATGCTCTCATCTTGTTTACATTTGTTTTTGCTACGTGTGTGAAAACAACAAATCTGATAGCAAAAACATGGGAAATAATTCTGAAAAAAATCACAAGTGAAATCTATATAAAGAAAGACCAAATCCGACATTGATTACAGAAATACAGGACTAGTACAGTCCACATTGAGTGCAATTTTATCTAGGTATGTTGCAGTTTACATATTATTTCTCAAAATTTTATGCCCTGCAGAACAAATTCAGTTGCCAAAAGATATATATATCTGGATGAAACATCTTTTTCTCTCAGCATGATATAAGTCATCGTAAAACCAAGAAAAGTACAATCCCAAATGAAGTGAGCACACTCACACTACAGGCCAGGTGACAGGCATAGAGAAAACACACCAGGCAAAAATGTCACTCTATAATGGCCCCGAGGACGTGCAAGGGAGGACAACATATGGCTCAGGTGGGGTGCTTACTGTGGGCTCCGAACATGCTCTTGGAGGAATTGCGGCCAATGTCGGCCAGAGATCGGATCAGGGGAAGCCGCGAGCCTTTGTCTGTTCGGTGTCGCTCGTGCTGGTGCCGGTGACGGCGCAGGAGTACTTCCTTCGTGCGCTCCAACTGCTCACCCGCAGACAACTGACCACTGTTCACCATGTTCTCCAAGACAAGATCTGTGTGCATTACATACACAAAAAATATAGAGGGCAAGAAGACAATGCATCGAAGTGGTATAGCACAAGTAAATATTGAGCATAAAGTATACTTATTTATTTATTTAGTCAATACTGCAGACTTCTATGCGAAGTCGTAGGCAGGAATGATAGCAAAATTATGGGTTTTCTGTCACATCTACTGAGGTATGCCACTGAAATGCATATTTTTAGGGTTTCACTGGCTAATGTCATGAGGTGTTTGAGTGCTGCAATATACAAACATAATAATGACACGAAGCTACACTTCATGCACAGTATTAGATTAATCCCATTGTAGTGGAGTAGTGTAAAAATACCTCTGTTATATACAACACTCATATAAGCACGCAATACTCATTGCTTAGAGAATCTGGAACGGAAGTTCTTAGATTAAGTTTGTTAGATTTGAGCACTTGTTAAAGTGCATTTATAACATTGCTCGACCTATACCACATAAGTTACACTATGCACTAGCTGCCCTAAGCAAGCAAAAGGAATTAAGCCAACAAGATGCTTGCAGGTATACATATGCAAGTGGGTTACAGGTAATTATCTTAAGATTAATATAGGAAATACATAGACAAAAATGTTTCATCTACGTATTAAACAATATCAACTAAATGCCATTGAAGTAAACAATACTGATATATAATTATTACCATATTTCAAGTCACTTGGCAAACATTTCTCTGAAACTATGTAGTGAGATTACCAAGAGAATCACCTAGTTAGTAAAATTACCTAGAGCAATAGGTACGATGTGTTGCCATTTTAATTATCTTTCTACATCTATTATTATAATTTTATATAATTCGAAGTTTTTTTTTTCTAGTTCCAACACAGAATCCTAGTCTAAGGGATGACTTCCCCTGAAAACATTCACAGCCTGATGGTATTACAAAAAAAGGAGCAACACGCCTTGTCTCCAGGGTGTCACATCTTTGGCATACTGCTCCTTTGATCACAAAGCTTAGAACCACACAAATAGAATCTTTGTACACATATAAGCCTTGTCACATGTATGGAATGGGAAAGAATCAATTATGATAACGCTGCAACACAACTGGCATCCTTACAGCAACATAATTCTTTTTATACATTTCATGATTTGGAACCTTGGATTGTTAACAAAAACAGAACTAGATACCGTGACCAAATGCTACAGTTTCGTTTACGGACTGTTGTAAATCAATTACACAAAGAAAGTGGTCTCAATGTACCTACTCTCTCACTAGAAAGGCTATACGACATATTTATGTGATTGCTTGTGCTGTCATGGGTTCATCTGTTCCTTGTTTTTTGTCGTCATCACTACAGCTATTTCTTTTTATTTATTTTTCAAACATTTCCAGAATAACCTTGTTCATTATTGCTCACTGTGGTTGTTTACTGTTTTTACTGTTTTGTTAGTTCATACATTATGTATATGGCATGCTTCTGTTCAATCGCTGTAACTGCCCGGTGCATGAGGTGGCCAAATTCCTCTCAAGCTTCTCAATGCAGCTTTTTGCCTGGACATCCTCTCAACCTTGCTGTGAAACAAACTCAATGCAATTCAATTCAATTATGAACTCCACACTTTTTGTTCAGCAGCACTTTCTTGACTTGCATAGTTCTGGTCAACCCACTAACCAAATGGAAGTGAAAACATATATGTAGGAATAACAAATGAGATGGTATGTACCAGCAATATTCTCCAAGCTGCTGGCTTCCATGTCGAGCATAACAGTGCCATTGAGGATAAAACTGCGCAGCTCCATCAGCGAGTGGAGTGATATGGTCGACACGTGCGGTTTAGACCACCGATCACCTCCTTCTTCCACATCCTCTTCAAACTTAATCCATCTGCATCAATGTGCAAAAGAAAACTCAGTCATGAATAACTTACATAAGATGCCTCCATAATCTCTGACATTGTTACATTATCCTTGATATGGCTATTTTTATTATTATTGTTATAGCAAGAAAAATGAGAGTTATACAATAACTGTGTGCTCATACTGAATATTCATCGTCTAACCAGAATCACACATCTTCTGTATTATTTTAGACTGTGTGAGGTAACAGAAATTCAATGTAAGGGCATGAATGCCATTTTATGTCAGGAACACTGACCTAGCCGCTTCTCTCCATTCCATTTCATCTCCTTCAGCGCAGAGTATCTCCATCTCACTGAACAGTGGATGTGCTTCGTGTAAGCCATCCTCTTCCTCCCCGAGGATAAAGTGGACTCGCTCCGCAGGGGGAGTAACTGCATGTTCAACACATGCAACTGTGTAAGTAGACTATCTATAGAAAACAGACTCCCATCTCCTTATAAAAGCAGGAGTAGGTGGGGCTGAATAAGTGGTTTAGTGCAAAACAGTACCTCTGAACACAGAGCACAATATATCATAGCAGGTATTCTATCTACAACAGAGTATTAAAAAGAAAAACTTACAACAACCTGTTTGTAGCACAAAGGCACAATAAAATCCACACGGAATCGCCTAGTATCTTTGAGCTACAAGCTGATGGTTGTCACGAACCCTATGCCACCTTGCGAAATTCTGGAGCATTGGTTTTCAGAAGTTTACCTTGCAGTATAGATTACTATGACCCACTACAACACTTTACTTAACTGATAAAAAATTCTATTAACATTGCATTCACCAATATAGAGTTACACTAATTCTGAAATAAAATGATTATAAAAGCACGTGACCAGGATGCAAAGAAAGTTAGATGCTATTTGTTCATGATATATAAAGACTGCTTTGTTTAGAATTCAGGCCGCTCTCAAAATAACCAGCCAAGGCTTGGTGCCTATTGTGTTCATTCCTACTGCTGTTTACATAGGTCTCATATGAGTAGTGCACACAGGTTTCCTCTCGTACTTCTTTTGCACCACTTTCCAGCTTATCAGGCTTATAATCAGCGTGTTGTGGTATGCATGTTGTGTCCCCCCTTTCTACAACTGCCTTTTCATACTGGTGATAGCAAAAATGAAATTGTCTTACATTGTCCTCCCCTTTCTAGATGAGCTTGCAAAACATTAAACATAATCTCACCAAACAGAAACAGTCTGTATCGTTAGAACCTTCAGAATGCCAATTTATAACATCTAAAGATTCATATCCTAGAAGCCAGAGCACTGTGTACATATCCAATCAGAACACACCACATACACAAGCTAAGTCTGCATGCATCTCATGAGCATTGATATTGCTTATGAGACTGCATCATCTCGCATGGCTGAAACATACACCTTAAAACAACATTCAGCAGTGAAGATGCTTTCTTCTGCAACGCAAGGCAACAGAAGCCATCCTTATTGTGCCTATTAGGCAGCCTCCTTCCGTTGCCCCAATGAGCTCTCCACTGAGATGCCAAAGTGATTCCCTTGAACTTGCTACCCTCAGATAAGTGACTGGAGACGAGAGTTAATAGCCAGAGCCATTTGTGCACAATTGGAGTCTCAGAATCAAGAAACACAAAAACAAGAGCCAGACCCTTGATGTGAGCATTGCATACTGGCACAGCGAAACTGAACAGTCATAGTAGATGATCACAACGCGACACAGTAAATATACTTGTAAACAGAAGTATACATACCTTGGCTGTACACAAAAAAATGCATTAATTCATTACAAATGAAGCTAAGCAGCCCAGAACTGACAAGTATGCTGCAGCAACTTGCAACTTTCAGGTGTGTGCTTATAGGTTACAGCAAAGTTACGTTTCAACGTGGTATCAATTGTGCACTACTGCCTCGCCACATACCTGCATGATAACCAACAAGTACGTGCATACTGCGGAAAGTGGTATATTGGCTAAACAAACTTCAGTTTTATGCAACTTAGATTGTAGTTTCCACAGGTTATATTTACAGTCCCTAAACAAAAATAAATGTAAGCCTAGAATAAATTAATTGAAAAAAAAACAAGTGCTAATGCAGGTTGTAGGTATTGGTTTGAGTATGTTTTACAAAAAGTTAAAGTTATCAGCTAACAGGCGTTAGTTGGGCTCTTCAATGAGTATCTTGCAGTTATTTTTTCGTTCACCGGGAGAGGTGGAGGCAAGTGCCCCTCCCCCTCCCATGGTGATAAGTGCTGTGAAATGGACAAGGGGGTGTGAATACAGCCTCTCCTGCCCTGGCCTAGCAATATCTTTCAGAGATGCTATTCTCAACTGAAGTAATCAAATCAGCATGCACAGCAGTGCTCCTCTCACAATAGTAAACGTACACTAAAAGACAGAGAGCGAAAAAGAAAAAGGCAATTATTTCGTTTCCCTTATTCGAGGCTCTCATTTTCTCGTTATCAGTCAGCAATGACAGGACCTGCCAGCTGATTGTCGCCGGATACTTAGAAGGGAGGGGGAGGGGGGGTGCAAGTGCAGGTTGCATCAGGGCTGGCGGGGGTGGGGGTGCTGGTAGCTTGGGTGGGATAGGGGACAATTGCTGGTGTGCCTAGAGGGGGACAAGTGCCCCTTTTCTGCCACACGGATGGACAAGTGCCTCTTTTCTGCCACGCCCATGTTCTGCCACACGGATGTTTATAACATCCGGGGTTCTGCGCGTACGTGTCCCAATAAAACCACGATGTAAAGAGATGCAGAAGTGGAGGGCTCCGAAAATTGTGACCGTCCGGCGTTCTGCACTCGCACATTACATGGACCATTTCGCCTCCATCAAAGTGTCACCGCCACGGCCGGGATGGAACCCGAAACCTTGGGGTCAGCAGTCGAGCCCCCATTACTCCACCATCGATGTCTCCGCACCAGACGGCGCTGCGTTGCTCACACTGCTCACAAACGTATCAAGCTAAGTTTTGAAAGAGCAGTGAAAGTGGGAAGGAGACAAGATGAGCAACTACAGGAAAATTTTTATTCAGAAAGGCAAATTGAAATAGCCACTAAAAAAATTGAGAAAGTAATAACGGAGGATAATAAGACAGTGTGGACATACACGAATCTAATTAGACTGTTTGAGCTAGATCTTGCTAAGACACGTGACAAGTCACCCCGGAAAAGAAGACACAAACCCAAAAGTTGGTGGGATGAGGAAGTTAAGAAAGTCATAGAAAAACGTCAGGAAGCCTCTAGGGAACACAGACATGCTAAGCAGCAGGGTGAACCGACACATGATGTTGAAAGAAAATGGGAAACCTTTCTAAGCTGTAGAAGGGATGCATCCCTTCTGATCAATGAAAAGATCAGAAGAAAGGGAGTTCAGTGGTTGGCAGAAGTACATAAAAAAGATAGAAAGGCAGCTGCGAAATTTTGGAACCATCTAAACTCCATAAGAAATGAGACGAGCCTAGAGCAGAGGTTTATAACTACAGCCCAAGGTGCTAGGCCAGAAGGGGACGAAGCTATTGAATATATAAGAACAAGGGTGACAGAAATATTTCAACAAAGAAGCGCTTTATGCACCACAATAGACAAGGGCGAATCAAGTGGTGCAATGGCTCCATTTTCACAACGAGAGTGGGAAAGGGCTGAGAAAAGGGTTCCTAGTAGTACATCAACAGGCCCAGATGGCGTTCCAATTATGCTGATAAAGACATTAGGTCCGAAGTCTAAGCAGGCTTTGAGAGAGGCAGGGAGCAAACTAATAATCGATGGTGAAGTTCCCGATGGATGGAAACTTAACAGGATGAGCATGATCTATAAAGGAAAGGGGAACAAAGCTGACATAAACAACTACCGTCCCATAACAGTGACATCAGTGGTCTACAGGCTGGCGATGCAGATTACAAAGGAAAGAAAGCAGGCATGGAGAGAAGATGAGGGGGTGCTGGGGGAACTGCAGGATGGGTTTCGGAAACACAGGAGGTTGGAAGACAATCTGTTCTCACTGACACAGTGCATCGAAATAGCAGAAAAGGAACACAGGTTCTTTTCCTGACTCATTAAAGCGTGCAAAAATTATACCAATTTTCAAGAAAGGCGATAAAGATGATATTAAAAATTATAGGCCTATCTCTATTCTTCCATCATTAAGTAAACTAATTGAACAACTGTTTGTAAAGCGTCTTAGTTCTTACCTTTCGAAATTTAATGTTATAAAACCTTCCCAGTTTGGTTTTCGTCATGGAAGCTCCACTAACCTTGCTCTGCTTTCTTTGACAGACTTCATCAAACATTCCATTGATACTGGTAACTTCTCGGGTTCAGTCTTTTGGATTTAACTAAAGCCTTTGACACGCTCAATCACTCCATTCTTTTCAATAAGTTAGATTCTTATGGTATTACTGGACCAGCTTTAAATTTTCTGAAAAGTTACCTGTTTAACCGAAAAAATGTGGTCTTTACAGGTGGCTCTTACTCTAACATTAAGATTACCAATCAAGGTGTTCCGCAGGGGTCCATTCTTGGCCCCCTCCTATTCATTATTTATATTAATGATCTCCCTGACGTCATTTGCTCTGCACATTGTGTTTGTACGCTGACGACACCACAGTATCATGTAAGGCCAAAACAGTTCCATCTTTAATATCAAAACTAAACTCTGTACTCAGCGATGTAGTTTTATGGTGCAACAACAATGATCTAACGATAAACCCCTCTAAAACTCAGTTCATGGTTTTCAGGTCTGCTCATAAACATTTGTTAACTTCTGCTGCTATAACTATGGGTCCTAATACTATCCATGCTTGTGATACTGTTTCTTTTCTCGGTGTACGTTTAGACATAACCCTTAATTTTGGTCTACACTTATTAGACATAAAGAAAAAGACTGCTTTTGGTATTCGTGCATTGATTAAAGCTAGGCCATATTTTTCCACTAATGCATTACTATCGCTCTACTTCTCATTTATTCATAGTCATTTTAACTATGGCATAATTACCTGGGCCAACACCTATCACTCGTACATCTCATCTGTACAACATATACAGAACCAAGCAATCCGCATTATCACTTTCAGCCCTCGTCGTTCGAACGCTATTTCTTTGCTTAGACAATACAATATTCTGTGTATTAGTAGGTTATTTGAATTTCATTGTACTTGTTTGTTCTTTAATATAATTCACCGTCGGCTACCCTTCGACCTCATCAACTGTGACTTATTGATAAACACTAACCGCACTCGCTTCGCATTGGAGCGAAATTTATTACTACCCCGAGTTTGCACTAATTACGGCATAAAGTCTTTGTCATTCACAGCTATTTCATTATGGAACTCTATTCCACCAAATATAAAGTCTCTATCCAACTTGTATACATTCAAAAAACTTTGAAATTATATCTTCTATCACTATAAATTATTCTATGTTGTCCTTTTTGCATTTTGACTTAGCGATTGTATTTGTTGAAGTTGTGATTATTACTATGTTTTATCGCTTCGTTATTTTTCTATAGTTGCTTTATAGCATTGTTTTGTTAATATTACATTGTCTTGCCATTTGCCTTTGCACTTGTTTACATGCTTTCTTCATCGTGGGTCCCCCTACAGTCTTCGAACTATGGGACCCTAGTCTGTAAAACGTCTTCTTCATTTTATGTATCGCCAGTCTGTTAATAATAATAAACTTCAAACTTCAAACTTCAAACAGGCCCCTGTGGCTAGCATTTTTGGATATCAAGGGAGCATACGATAGCGTGGTTCAAGAGGAATTGTGGGGAATACTGAACACACTAGGCGTGGAACATGTAGTCACTAATCTTTTAAAGGATATCTATAAAGGTAACAAGGTAGTTATAAAGTGGGAAAAACAGGTAAGGTATCCAAGCCTGCAGAGGTAAAACGGGGGCTTAGGCAGGGGTGTCCTCTGTCACCCTTATTATTCATGATGTACCTACAAGGATTAGAGGCCAAATTAGAGGGAAGTGAACTGGGCTTCAACCTCTCTTTAGTCAAACAAGGAAAACTCATTGATCAGGCACTACCAGCATTAATGTACGCAGATGATATAGTGCTAATGGCCAACAACAAGGAAGATTGGCAGAGATTGATGGACATCTGCAGTAATGAGGGAGATAGGTTAGATTTCAGATTCAGTAAAAAAAAATCAGCAGTCATGATTTTCAATGATAACGAAGGTAGTGAGCTTAGAATACAGGAGGTCATGCTAGAGATAACAGATAAATACAAATATCTGGGCGTATGGATAAGCAATGGGACCAAGTACCTGAGGGAACACGAAATATACGTGACGACTAAAGGTAACAGGAATGCAGCAGTGATGAAAAATAGGGCACTGTGGAATTACAACAGGTATGATGTTGTGAGAGGAATATGGAAAGGGGTCATAGTTCCTGGGCTGACGTTCGGCAATGCGGTCTTGTGCATGAGATCAGAAGTTCACGCAAGATTAGAAATTAAGCAACGTGGAATAGGTAGGCTTCCTTTAGGAGCTCACGGGAATACACGAAATCAGGGAGTACAAGGTGATATGCGATGGACATCATTTGAGGGCAGGGAAGCTAGCAGCAAGATAAAATTTGAGAAGCGACTGAGAGAAATGGGGGATGAGCGTTGGGCTAGGAAGGTTTTCAGCTACTAGTGCATGAAGAATGTCGATACAAAATGGAGGAAGCGAACCAGGAAGTTCACTGGTAAATACTTAGAAAACAGCAGGTGGCCAAACCAAAAAGAACTATCGGTTAAGAAGAAAGTGAAGTAAACGGAGACTGACATGTGGAGAATGGGCATGATTAAGAAGTCCACACTAGTAATCTATCGAACTTTTAAACAGGAAATTGCCAAGGAAAGGATCTATGATAATACTCGGGGTAGTTCTCTACTGTTTGAGGCCAGGACGGGAGTACTGCAAACCAAGACATATCGGGCCAAATACGAAGGGGTAGACACAGTATGCAGTGTGTGTGGAGAGGAAGAAGAAACTGCCGAACACTTGATAATGTTCTGTAAAGGGCTTCACCCTATAGTTCAGGATGATGGCGCAGAGTTTTTCAAAGCCCTGGGGTTTAGGGACAGGGAGGGCAAAATAGACTTGAAGCGGGTAGACTTAACTAGAAGGAGGTTATCTGATTGGTGGCTAAAGTCAAGGCACGAGTGAAAATTAAACCCTTCACTGCAAAGTACGAATCCTCAAACTCACTTAAAAAAAAAAAATCTAGTTTTTGGTTCATTAAGTATTACGGCTTGGTGGCGCTAGCCACCACCCGATCTAAAGGGTACAGCCATATCCACCCATCCATACCCCGTCTTTGGCATTCGCCGCTAGGGGCACGCAGAAAATGGGCGCGTGCTCGCGTCCCCCCCTTGTATCCGAGGGGTGCTATTCTGGACACTGTCTAGTCTAATTCCACCATATTGTCAAATTTCGTAATGGCGGCATTTAAAGCCAACCAGAGAGGTCATAGCAGCTAACGTGGCCAATTAGCATCGGTCAATGGCGGAATCTGACATTGTCACATGGCGTAATTCGACAATGTCCAGAAAAGCACCCCCGGCCACAATCCGCCGACAGATGCAGGGCGCGAAACGCAAACGTCGCGTTCCGTTTTCGTTGAGGCCGTCTCAAGGTAGCTTTTTTTTTTATCCGCTAGGCTATGTATTCTGGCGCCGCAGCCAGACTAGAAAACTCGACTGAACAATGCCTTAAACAGTTCCGCTAGAGTGACCTAGAATTCTGTCACTTTGGTTCCACTAATGAAGTCGCAGCATTTCTACTTCACGTGCTGACGAACTAAAACAAAAAAATCTCCTTGGTTCTAGAAATTTTGAGTCTTTTTTAAAGGTAAATATAAAGATATTTCGCGGCGACATATAAAACTGATGGCGCGAAGACGCGTTTTCATTTCACTAAGCGAAGTATAGCATTAGATCGTGCACTGCAGGGCAGGCTCTGCGCAGGGTATCATCGTCATAAGTATCAATGTCCAGCGCAAGAGACGCCAAGCGCATAAAATGCCCGATTTTCGCCGACACACGCGATGACCTACTTGATCGGTGGTTGCCGTCGCCGGAGGCGCCTTCGTCCTTGCGGGCATGGCCATTCTTGTGGTGGTGCCGGTGGTGCCTGCGGTGACCGCGCCGGCGGTAGCCTGGCACATGCAGCCCAACGTACACAGTGTGAGCTCGGTGACCTGCGAGACGCGTCAAAGTCACACCGTGCCACTACCGAATCTTTCGCGTACACACACAACTAGCGGCAGCATCAGCGACCCCACCACCCAGTTAATAATTCTTGCATGTGTCCATCCTGTATGCGCGTCATAAAATCCCGCCATGGCGCATACGCGCCGGAATGCGCGCATTCAGCCGCGCGCTCACCCTCAAAGTCCTTGTCCGTGTAGCTTGGGTGTGACGTCAGGGCCCCCGGGTCCTTGGGAGCTTCGTCCTGGTTTCCCGTCTCCATCTTCTTCTGCTTCTGCCACGGTCTGCGCAGATAGAAAAGGGGGCGGATCGTTTACCCACGGGCCGCTTTACACGGACCACTGCAGCCATTGCACTGTCCTCATTGGGCACCAGTAAGTAAATTCCCACCCAAAACGCTGATGCCAATTTTCGTTGCGTCATGTTTATCCGTCATGTCTCATCTACTGTTCCGAGATTAATATATTTAAATTCTATGTGTGATGCACAATTCCTCATATAATCCCATGCGGAGATTTACATCAATGTAACCTTGAAGTTTGTTGCAGTAAGGCCGCTAGCGCATTGTACAGGCGACGTCGCAGGCCAAACCGCTTATTCTAGCAAACGAATCCAAAACTATACCCGCGGCGCCCCACCCTTGGCGCAAAACACTTTCTCCCTCTCTCCCTCTCGTTTACCGTTTATCATTCCATCTCGACGAAAACGATTCGTTTGCGATCCAGCTTCGAACTAAAACAAGAAAAAAAACAAAAAAACGTCATAGGTTTATGTTTGTTTTCGTAAAACAACATAACCTAGTTTAGCACAGACAGTAGCCAATGTTCCCGGTTTGCCCAGACACACTGAAGAAAGGCAAACATAAATAGGACGTGTGCTTGTGTGTTTTACATAAACGTCCTCCCGTGGCGTAATAGCGGCTATGGAGTTGCGCTGGTGAGAACATTTTCACATTTTTTCATTTTCACATTTTTTCATTGTCACCTCACATATTGCATAGATTCATGGGGATGGACTTTTAAAACATATCTAGAACCCTTACGTATACTACAAAAGCGGGCACTTCGAATAATAAACAATGCTAGATATGATCAACACTGCGCGCCATTGTTTCGTAATATGGAAATCATACCATTCGATAATTTACGACAGCAAAAAATTGCACTTACCGTCTATAATGTCATTTCTTATAACCTGCCCTTTCATATATCACTATTTTCATCCTCTTGCCGCCTTACCAGACGTGCCACATTACATAATTTCAATCTTCCGCCTACTAACAATGTTTATGGCAAACGATTGCTACAATTTGCTGGAGTAAAGGTCTGGAATGATATACCATACCAAATAAAAGAAAGCAAACGTTTTGCCTGTGCTCTTAAAAAATACTTTCTGCAGAAAAATGAACAGGTACACTAACACAAACCTCGTTGTAATCTCCACTTCGTTATGTATAGATTATATGTCTAACAAAATCATACTTGACATGGTATACGTACCTTTATGTATTCGAAGTATTGTATACATGCAATCCGTTGTTTGCATGGAACAATGCTGCAAGATACTGCAAATGACTTATCACAAATATGTTTCCTTCTTATATTTTGTTTCGATTTTTTTCTTGTATGATTGAAGTGTACCTATAAAATATCTGCTTTGTTAACACAATGTGTTCTTTTAAATGCATATTTATTTAGACCCCCTACTAGCCAGTGGCTATGGGTCTAACCAGTGTTGTGTATTTTGATGTAATAAGAGAACTTGAAATAAAATGAATGAATGAACATGTGGTTGTGAACTCTATTTTTAGTCCCAGCACGTGCATTTCCACGAGTGTGAAGTGTAAAGACCCCTGTTAGTTACACTTATAGGCGCACTCACCATCAGTGGTCAAAATCAACCCGCGATAACCTCATCACGGCGTGCCTCGTTATGCTATCAAAACATTCACCTCACGTAGAAAGGTGAAAAAACACAGCGAAGAGCGGAATAGATGATCCCTTCCCTTAGTGCAGGGTAGCAAATCGGATGCTCCAATTCCTGGTTAACCCTTATGCCTCTCTCTCATTTTGTTCTCTCTCTCGCATCCCGTACAATCACATCGTGATTACGGCGCATAAGATCCCACAATACGGTTGTTTTTCGCGATATTACGATTTGTTGCGCAGGTTTTATTTGCAGCATTTGACTGAAAACATTGCAGGCGCCACCATCACCATGTCCAGTAAAGAGTGACCAAACTATGAAACAGACCAGTTTTGTTGAAAAGACGCCACTGTCAGTATCAGATAAATATATATGAAACAGACCAGTTCTGTAGAAGCAGAATACGCTTAAATCATGTTTTTTTGTCTTATGCTTCCAATTACAAAACACGCAAGCAAATTATGTGCGCCTGAGCTCATGATGCATGCTGGCCATTATTCAGCTGTTGATTACGCGACACAACAAAACGAGCTGTAAAAACTAAGTGTGAAGTTGTTTTGCGGTGGTCAAGCCCGAACGGCATTCGCTATAGCCGCATGATATTCAATCAGGCGTAATCAGGAGTACGCGTAAAAGTTCGCGGCGAGGTCATGCGACGTGACGGGGTAAAAGTTTTCTTTAAATTGAAAGTCTGACATGGGTGGCCGCGCCGCCGTCATTCCTACCCCGGGTGCCGAGAAAAGGTGATTGGTAAAAGCGAGCAAACTCCATCTGTATTATATCATACTGTGGTTTCCTTCTCATGGTCGTGCATCGTATACAGAAAGGATCGAGCGCATGTCAAGAGTGTACTCATCGCTTTGCTGGTGCATTCCTAGAGAAATAAAAGAAAACGTAGCGCGCGCACAAACACACACACACACACACACACACACACACACACACACACACACACACACACACACACACACACACACACACACACACACACACACACACAGTAAAGATCAAGCTCTTGAAATGAGTGATATAGGCAAGGTTCGGCGTGATCTGGATCGGAAAAAGTGCCTGCGACATTGGTGAACTAGTTAGTGAGCACGTTCCTTGCTTGGCCTGACAGAAAAGAAGTCGGTCGACTTCTGTACAGTGAATCGCAACTCCTTTATGTAGAGACCGTTGTCCGCTCATCTCAGGACCACGACAGTAGTACACTACAGAAAGCGTGGGGCCTCTTTTCTTCGTTAGCCGCAACCAGTGAAAACAACAGAAAAATAAGTCACGCAAAGCACAGATGACATTACTTGTTGATTTTAACTGTAGTGAAACCATTATGATCGGCCTAAACTGAAAAGGATTTAATTGAACGAGGGCCTGAAACGGAGGTTGTAGGTTCAAATCTCACGGGCGGAAATGAATGCTTTCCCCCCCCTCCAATTCCTTTTAATTTAGCTCAAAATCATTACACTCGCAGTATACACTTGAAGACAATATGAAATGAGAGTTCATGGCTTAATTGTCTGTTGGTTTCTTTAGTTATGTCCCGAGTTATACCAGCGAGCATACATATCTCGTTAAACGCGCCAACTCACCCAGAAACATTTTTTTTTTACCTTCTCTAAGGTTCCCTTTTTTCACGCATAGCCCAGTGTAGGCGTGCTCAGGGTTTCCCTCTCGGGGGGGGGGGGGGGGGGGTCGCAGAGCTTCCTTTCTCAACTTAGTCAATGTATGGGGTAGAATTTTTGCCCCTCTTGTGACCTTTCTCTTCTCTTTCCTCTCTCTCTCATCTTTATGCCCCCTTTCCATTCCCCCAGCGTAGGGTAGCAAACCGGGCATGTGCCTGGTTAACCTCCCTGCCTTCCCTCTTGTTGTTTATCCCTCCTCCTCCTTGTGACAAGGGGGGAGGGGGGTCCTCAGCCCCCCCCCCCCCCCTAGGCGCACGCCTGTGATGCCCAGTTCGTTCCGGTCAGCACCTGTATGTCTCCTTGTGCCGCGCGGTGTTGCGCCGCCTCGATGCAGCGGAGGCCCCTCGTGTTCTGGTGCAGGCTCCCCGTCCCGCATACGGATCACGCGCGCTCCTAATCTTTCTTCGAAAGCGGCGAGTCCGGAAAGGCCGGTCGCGCTGCGTGGCGAACACGCAGCTGCCCGCCACGCTGTCGGCGACATCTCTTCCACGATTACGCAAAAAGAAAAAGTGGATGAACAGGCTTTTTTTTTTGTTCCTTTCCCGATTCGAAGCGTATACGCACGCTTACGGACGGTCTTATATGTGACGACTATGTAACGGCAAAGCCTTCGTGTGTGTGTGTGTGTGTGCATAAAAGCGAAAACCACGCACCAACAACGAGGAATATATATATATATATATATATATATATATATATATATATATATATATATATATATATATATATATATATATATATATATATATATATATATATATATATATTGTCGTGAGCGAGACACACAACACCCGTTCGTCGGGCAAGCTGCTCTATTCTCCGCCTCTACCTCTCCCAGCTAGCTCCTCGAGTGCTAGAGTCCCGATGCCGCCGGAGTTAGACATCGGCCATGGCTGCGAGCGCGCGCAGCTGACTTCAATATTTCGGGTGGCCGGGCTTGGCTGCATCGTCGTGGTCGGCCGCAACCACTGGGCAACGTAGATGGGAGATCCGTAAATGAAGCGTCTCCGGTGGTCGGCACTGACTGTTCCAGAGAGGCCGGACTCGGCCATGCTGGAATTCCGCCTGTAAGTTTGTCCAAGTTGGTTCCGGAGGACGACACCGGCTATGTCGCCTGGGTCGTTCGCCATGTTACTGTAGAGACTGGGCCTTGGTTGATGCCTGTGTCCATGACGACTCCCGGGGACGACATTGACTGTGTCTTGGCGGTCTACGACCTCGGCCACGCTGCGACTTTGCAGAGAAAGCAGTTCCATTTTCCTCGGGTGGAAGGAGCAGGCTTTCTCGGTGTAGTTGAATTTCTTTCGACTTGTACGACGAATTTATATCGACTTGTGCACAGAGACCGAGACAAATAAAGCACATCGTGTACACTTTCTCTTACGTACATTGGTTGTGCAGACAGCCGTGTAACGCAATGTGCCAGCGATACTGCAAGCTGCTCTACAGCTTCCGCACCTCCCAAGGGGCACGCCAAGCAAGCTCACCGCCGTAAAGCGAACTCAATACTCCAGGCCTTGACATCAAAGCAACAGGACTTTCGACCACTCACAAGCCGCTTACCTACATCTCGCACCTTGTCGCTTCCTGTGATGAGTGTCAGCCGAAAGGGTGATCGTGTGCTTTGTTGTGAAGTGGCAACAAAAGAACGCAGGGAGCGTTCTGAAGGCCAGCTT